TATCTCACTTTATTTGCTTGTACAGAGACAACCAACGAAATGGTAATTAGTAGGAGATCTTTGAGCAAATGTACTTTTATACTGATATCGGACTCTACGTCTTCCAGTTTAACGATCTGATATGATTTGAGGTTATGTAAAATGAAACGGTAAAGATAGAGTAGAGGTTCTTTTACTCCTCGTGAAGGATAAGGGAACCAAACATGAATATCTAACTAACTTTGTTCTCAGCTCTTCCTCTAGTTTTTCTTAAGTATTATTCATCCTTCAGATGTCTGTCGTTTGTTCCTTGGTTGTCTTCTTTTTCTTTTGCCTTGGAGATTTCAAGTTAAGGCTCAATTTGTAGTTTGGTTTGACTTCCGCAGTCTGCCCTTTTCTAATTTTTTCTTTACGTAAGCATTTCCATCTCTTCTAGAACTCGAATCGGATTTGATAAACTGACGGTTATTTTCCTAAACCTTATGTTCTCCAAGTAGTTAACTTTGCGCTTTGTGCTAGGTTTGAAGCGGTTACGAGTTCATCTAACCTGCGAACGGAACAAAAACTCGCTGACCAAAAACCAATAAGCTAGCTATTCGATGCGTCACAGTCCCGCTAACTAGAGGAAGAAGTTCAAGCTTCGAATGAGGAAGTGTATTCCTCAAACAACCAGAAAACGAGCGAAACAACAGACATAAATCAAAACGAATATATACAGAACAAAACCGTCATGAGGAAAGTTATAAATAGCATACTAAAAGACACAACAGACCAATAGCATTTAGGATTCCCTCAAATGGAAAATACGGCATGAAGGTAAAAAGAGCTTTTGGCGCAAAAACAGGGAAATTCAAATTTTTTAAATAAAATTACAAAATTAGGTTCCTATCCGAGGGCGTTCTGTGGACCTAACGTCCCCAAAACTTTGTACACAATATATATCTGTATAGCATTGAGAATGTGGAGTCGGCCTGTCATCTAGCCATCACCGTTTATTCTCTAGGATACAGGTACTAGTTCTTTCGGACCATAAGGGTTATCTGTAAGAACGTTTATGGACGTTTTGTGTATGAAAATCCTTCTACGTACCTATTGTTGTGAACCACTCTTCATGATACTTCAGATGTACAATTTGTCAATATTTTGATTCCAATTAAGACGGAACTATTTGTATCTTAATTGTTGTTTTTTCGTTTTCACTAAATTTCCATGTTATTCCTGAACTATGTTTATCTTGTTTTAGTAGATATTTAACTACGGTGGCTGCCGTATTGAATCACTCTCCTTCATCATTGCGTTACTTGAAGTGACTGGGTTTGTATAATAATGATTGTGAATTAAAACATTTTTAGAATTAAAAACATTCTATGTTATAGCAAAATTAAATATCATCTTATAAATAATCTGTACGCTATCTATCCAGAGAAGACAGAGTAGCATTCCTCTGTCGATAGGAACATTAATTTGCTGCACTTGATGATTCCCAGATTTTCTACCAATTTCTCTTCTCGATGTAATTTAGATTTGGTCACTGTCTGAACAAATATTTGTTGAACAACCGAATTGTACTATTCGTTAATGAAATGACGTATGTTTAAATTAACAACGAAGTTTAGGATAGTCATTTACTCTATCATTTTGTCATGGTTCTGACTGGGCGATAGCATGTATCTAAATTAGCCTGAGAAGTCATTCTTCTTCTTAAACTACACTATCGTCTTGGTCAGAGACTGCTTAATCCTGTATAAAGCATTGCAGCACAATGAACTGGAAGCTTAGAATTGGTACACTTATGATATTGGTCCATAACCGCTCTATCTTTGAAGCTGAGTACAAGGTAACTGAGAAAATCCACATTCAACAGATAGGGAAGGTCAGAGATGGTGAACGCGGAAATTGATCGATATCACGTGGCTCAGTGGTCATTACGTGTAACTCATACTTTTTCACATTAAGTAGGTTGCTTCATCCCAAGCCGAAATGCGCTTTCCAGAAGTACTTGTAAGGACAGTAAAATGTCGCTGAACCATAGACTAATCATCTGGCAGTAGGGTCACTGAATTTTGGATCCCCATCACGGTTAGGGCAGCCACTGTGCATCAGGTAATGGCGCACCATGGAGTGGTCCATGATGTGGCGGTTATACTCTGTTTTGTACCTACTATTACCAACATATTTATATACCAACGTCGTCTGCGTTTTAAGGTCACTGCATTCTGATATTCAATATTCATCTTCCATGTGGACAGCCATTTAAATCCTTGCTTAGCCCTGTCTTGCACTGAAGTCGTCAATAAGTTCGATGTTGCAATAAATTTACATCGATTCGTGAGACAATGAGTCTACTGCGGATTCATGGAAACTTCCTGTCCACCGGGAGTATAGTTACCATATCGAAATATAAAACCTTGATGTTAGTTTAATTCCATGTTATTCGTATTTTCATTCAGATGATCGATGGGGCTTCGCATAAAATAAACACACTTATAGATACACTTCTGACCGTAACTTGTCAGCCTGTCAAAAGTGCTATCATCTTGATGACTAGTTTATAATAATATGTAATTGCTCAAAGTACAAAGCATTATTACAGAAGTGTATTAGTATGAATATGTACAAAAACAGAGTACAGCAACTGCCTCATGTTCCTATCCACGATGTGAATCTGATTGATGCACGATGATTGTCTCCATCTTGACGAGGATTGTTAAACTGTTAGTTACTTAATGAACTGACTGCTGGAGGATTTTTCTAGGCCCTGAAATTTCCCCGGCACCGTAAATAAATATCAGAGAAATACTGGCTGGAGAAATTATCATGATCTTCTCGACTTAGTACTGTTTGGAACAGCTTATTAACAATTCAATTACCATGAGACCAAACTATCTAAAACGTCTGTAAAGATCGGTATACCGATATCCAATTTGAACGCAGAACTAATCAACAAACGTTTATTCCATTAGCCCAGGCTACGTTCTTCTCTATAGCGTACGAAATGTTTTTGAGTAACTCATATTAAATTATATGAAAAAGCAGACCGTGTTCAATTTAAATGGTTTTAATTTTGATAATAAATTATGTCAAAAGTGTAAAATACCTCAAACGGTCCAGCCTGTGTTACGCAGTCATGGGTTTGTCAAACACAAACTAACGTGCTAACCAACAGAAGAAAAAGTTAATAAACAAGACGCCAATACGTGTGAATCAATGAAAATATTTCCAAAAAGATGGGATCAGGTATCTATCTGCAGAGATTCCAGCAACTGTGGGATTATAATGTATGGGCGATCTTTGAGCAATGCTAGTGACCCTGAGTGTCTACCTACTTACTAGGTCTGATTGAGGGTAATAAAGACTAAGGATTGAAGAATAAGGATTATGATTTACAATCGATGGCTAGAGTTAGGAATTAGATTTAAGGTTTTTCATCAAGAACTGAAATCAGCTATAATAACAAGACTCTATTTAGCCAAGTGGTGAGTGGATTTCGCGTCAAAATCTAAAACCTGTTATCATAAATCTGATTGGCTCGTCTATAAATTATAGTCTCGCCCCAGCATTTATTTATGACAGACAGTGCCAACTACAGTTTTGTCATGCATCTTAGACGTTTCTTGATACAACTTATTAGGCGGTTTTTATCCTGTAAATCACCAGCGTCGATGATCTATGTCGAATGAGTGGAGGTCTACGTGAGTTAGATGGGAATGGTGTGACGGACGAACTAACGTCGAAGCCATACTTCGTGGTCAGCATCCTACGTAAACTACCCCATTGACGTATCAAGGTACTATAGATGCTTTGAAGACTGTACAACACAGAGGACGTTACTACAGAAATATATTAGTTAAAGTAGGCACAAGTTAAAGTAAGACCACCACCGCATGGGCCAGTCCATGGCGTACGATCAACTGATGCGCGTTGGTTGCCCTCAACCTTGCTGAGGATCGATGATTTGCTTGATATCCAATCACCTAAAAGCCAGATGATTTGGCCCTACAATCCGGTAGACTCTAAGTTTAGTAATCTAGTGAACATCATCTTGTTGTTCATAACAACTATCTGCTTCTTCCCTAAATATGTTCTGGGTAAAACACTTGAAAGAGATTAAAAGGTTTACGAATATACAGGGCTTGCCTGTGTCGTTAACTAAAATGCTATTTTAGTCAAGGATCTCAAAGTCAGTCCTGCTAGGACTCAGGTATAAAGAGGTTCGAAGTAGCATGGACCTGTAGCAGATTTGCTGTTGCAAAAGATCCACAACACGGTGTGACTAAGCATTATCAGATGTGGATGCTTGTTCAAGTACCTTCGACTAATGGTGTATCCAACAAAAATATTGAAGTCAACGCCAATGTTGGAGACCTAAAAAACTATTCATATTCGGGATTTATTTACTGCTTCAAGCTATCTACCAGCATCGTTTAATTATGCCGTATCAAGAATACTTCAAAATTAATGAAACCAGTGGGTTCAATGTCAAGTGCAGTGTCCTCACAGAGTTTTTTCGCATTACTATATGCTAGAAAATATCAACAGTCAACTCACATTTAAAGTCACTAAAACAATTTGTAAACAAAGATCCTTCGTTTCAATAAAATAAAAGGTTTAACAACCAAAAAGGACCTAGGAAGCGAAGTTACGAGGAATAATTGCTGATGTGCACCAATGCACTTGTTTACCATAAACATGTAAGATTAATCACAACACAATTATTGAAAAAGCCTCCATTTGTTTGTAAAGAATTGTTTTAAAACAGTACCGCCTTGATTTTTTAATGAATATACATCAAGTGGCTTCCGTCTTCTGATTTACTTTAAACTCTAAAGTTAAGACATGAAACATTCGTAATCCCCTAAAGTAAACAAATACTTAAAATCCTTGAATACAATAATTAGAAATTCGGAGAAAACTATTTAGATAAATTGGACAGAAACCAGATGAAAAAATATGCTACAGGTTTTTTCCATGAACAAAGTTGTTTTTAATTCTTTACTTGTTATTGACTATTGAAATTAGCCGCCTTTCAAAGCGGAGTTGTATAACTAGGATAATGTTTTTCGTAGGGAACATAATCTCAGGATGTATTAAGTGTACCTTCGCTACATTAAGTCATAAAAGCGTAGTTCGATAATAAGGTAAGCCATATACCCTTGTTTCGTTTTTACGTTATTGTTTCACATTATTTGTGGTTGTGCTATCATAATATCTTGTCGATCTGCAACTAGTCACATTTACTGAGCAGTATTTAATAACATGATTGGTTCTGCTGGAATTTTTTTCCTCGTTCCTGTTTTTCATTATGCTAGCTGTTGAAATAGCAAGCACCTCTATGCCGCTTAAAGAAGACGTTGTTAAGTCTTTGAGTAAACTTGTTGGTTTTGATCATTTTAACATATCGAACCCTACTGTGTTTTGCTTTAATTGGACACTTTCTGGCAACTTAATCGTACCGAAGCAGACCGTGGTAGCTTTGCTACTATTACTTCCGTGAATAGTCACTTTTAAGATGCTTTATGCTCGAAAGTGGCTTCCAAATGTTAGGCTCCTGTTAACCAGTAGAAAATGGTATCCATCATGATGAGTCCAATTGTTGGTACCACAAAGTACGCACAAATCTTATACTATCTCACTGTTAGAGTAAGTCTGTGGCTATGTCTTGATATCGGACGCCTACACTTTTAAATGTTACAAAAAACCATATTAGAAAAAACGTAACCTATAGTCGGAGTAAATGTCATTATACTGGTTCTGTCAATGCACAGATCAACTCTTATGTCACTAGCTTAACTTAGAATGTTCAAAGACTAAATGTCATGTAAACGGCAAGCGGAATGTAATATTAGAATAAATAATATTTATTTAAATATAAATATTGGTACAAAGAGGCACCGAATACATATGCGCCACACAAGTCAAGTGACTCGTATGGGCTGTGATGCTGCTCGGGTGCCCAGACCGAAGTAGATGATTTTCTTAGGGGGTCGTCCATATCCACCAGCCCGTTTAGAGTACCGGAAATTTGCTTTTTATCCTTTCGACTTCGTTAATAACACCCCCACTGCAAGAAGAGAGTGAGTAGGACTTCCATGGCAGTAATTGTATGCTAGTAGTCATGTGGGAGCATTTCTAGTAAAACAGCTGACTCTCCCCACTCTCGGCCGTACCAGGGCATTTGAGGGCCTCGTGACAAACGTATATCCAGTTAGTCAGTCAGTCAGCTGCAACGTAGGACCAGGCACGTATATGCATCGGTCCAAGTTGCCATACCGCATTAGCACAACAAGATAAACACCGGATTCATAGAAGTAGTTAATTCAGTGGTGGTAATATATAGAAGAAAGAGTGCGTATAAGGAGATAGTACAGGAAGATAGAATTAGTTTCTAGAAAGAAAGATTTGAAGTGATTTTAATCTCTTAGTTTAAAGGAAGACAGAGTGTATACACCGACGCCATTGCGATCGATTCTGAGCCATGTCACCAAGATTCTCCAACCATTGGTTACGATTGTCACGCGGACCCCAACCAGGTAGTCTGCATCTACCAACATGGCTGAGACCAGAAGTTAGTGACTTCAAGCATTGATGTCACGTTTTGGTTTGGCCGCCCCTAACTTTCTTCCAATTATCCCCAACACCGGTTAGCATTGCGCGTCGTGGTAATCGGTGTTCAGGCATACGTAACACGTGGCCTAACCATCTCAGTCGATGAAGATTCATAGCCTCATCAACTGATTTACCATCATTCCCTAATACCCTGTGTCTAACCTCACTATTACTTAGCCGGTGATCCCAGCAGATGCAAACAATATTTCTAAGGCACCTGTGGTCAAATACTAGTAACTTACGAGTATCTTCTACTCTTAATGGCCATGTTTTACAGCCGTATAGTAGGACGGAACGAACTGCCGCGCGTCCAGTGAGGCGCAAGCACATGCATACTCGTATTACAGCATGATCAGTGTCTAAACACGTACGGAGCCGTTTAGCCGAACAGTACATAAACGACTGTTAACGGGGATTTATTCTAATAGTTCATGTTCTGTCCTCGTACTTAGTGCAGTACCTACATTTGCCAGTCCACGAGAACTAGCCACCGGGCCACCAGATACACGGAGGGTGTATCTCGTCGGCTCCGTTTTGGCTAGGCGAGGTCAAGTGAATGACCACACTAAGATCCTGTATGTGTATTTCGGAAACAGCGTACATCAATAGTACGAGATTCTAGGGTTTTAGCCAAGGAGGCCTGTTGGTCGATTTGACATAGGGTGCATACTTTGTAGACTCCAATGTGTAGTATGGGGCGAGGTTTTAGTAGACCTGGGACAGTGTTTTGCGCACTAGAATCGTTGGTCATGGTGACACTTGAGGAGGAAGTCAAAATAAGTTGAAAGTCGAGGTAGGAGGAATGATAGGAATTGAAGAGAAGGTTGATTATGAACACAGTGATCTTGAGTGCTGTTAAAGTTATGAGGGCGGTTATCACTTCCCGGTTGCCTACACAGTGGGAAGGTCCTTCTGGAGGTACCTGAAAACGAAATTGGACTAAAGGTGGTCTTAATGACCTGAGAGCGCGACCACAGTGCCTAAAGGACAACTGCTTGAGACCGGTCACACACGACCTTCTCGCATTAGCTCCGTACTTGTTGAGATCTTCCTCCGGAGACGGATATCCGTGGGATATGGCGAGATGTGAATTTTTAGGATCGACCCTTTCTAACTCCACCCTTCCTTGTGGAAAAGTAACATCGCTGTTATGCTGGTTATCTGAAGGAAACACCTCACTGTCTTCACACCTCTGTACAGTCAGCAGTACGACTTCGCCTTCGGACCTTGGGTTTGTTGCTTTTAGTCTTACCGCTCTTCAACCGACCTGCCTAGCATGGTAGGACCTTGAAGAACGATTGTTACAGCCAGCATAGCTCGATTGGTTCATCACGATAGGCAAGCACGACCACCACGTCAAGGTAGCAGCAACGGTCTGGATTTATGGAACATGCTTTAGCACAACATTTATTCAAACCGAGAATCTTCCTTACTGGACTTACCACCCAGTTATTATTTTCTACTACTCCTTACCAATAGTGATCTTACAGTTAGGTCATTCATTTTCATAGCTTGTGGTAGTTTATGGTTAGGTTCAACCTCGTCCAAATGTCTGGTGAGTAAACAAGTTAACCATCAAAGAGTATTGTATGTCAACAAAATGACCAGTTGATACTATTCCATGGTCTAAATTTAAAAATGGGGATGTTTGTGCCAGACATTAGGTTGATCATAATTGACTGAGGGTTGGAAACATGTGAAGAATAATGAAATGTCACTTTTGCTCCAAATAAATCCATTAGTAACACTAAAGGAAGGTTTTAGCAAACCTGTAGTTTCGCGAAAGCACTTCAGGTACTTTCCATCTATGACAATGAAAGATCAGCTGCTAACCTTAAAAATACACGTATTATTGGTGAGTCCCTTTTATTAATCATGGGGCTGTCCTACAACTAATCTAACATCTCACTCCGGACAAGTCCAGATTTCCGGATGAGGTTGCCTTCAAATTACGGCAACTGACGAATGTTATTGCCAACCCACTGGTAATGGTGTCTGACATGTCTCTGAAGAAATCGAAACTGCCAAGAAATTGGAAGGATACTATAACTAGTTCTGTCTATTTGACAAATAACTGTCGTTCAGTCTGCCTTACTAGTATTATCGTTAAATTGATGGAAAGCTTCTGTTTTAAGTCACGTAGAAAGGAATAATCTTTTATTATGGGGACATCCTGGTTTTAGAGTTCTTCCGCGTCTGAATAATACCCTCATTGCAAGAGATTTGACGGCAACATAATATAAAAGTATTTCGGTAGACGTTTTTTTTTTTATAAATCACAATGGAGTCATTTTTCTATTCAGTCTGTAAGTCCTTTATCAACTAAAGTCCATTGAGTGTTACTTCTATAGTTCTGTTGCTCTTTATAATCGTTTGTCACCGGACCGAAAGTTCGGGAAACTTTTGGTGAACATAATTTTGTTTTGAGATTGAACTTACTGAGATATAGGGTAGGAGCAAAGACAGTTTGGTAGTTGACCTTTTTGCTGAGAGGTATTAAGTGCTTGACATACCCTCAATTAATATTTTTTAACACAGCTAAGCCGTGGTACATTGATTCTGTTTTCTAATTCAACATCCTTGGAATCTGCTTCTGTTGTTAACTTTTAAGGGATTTTTTCACATTTGATAAATTTGTACAACAATCGAATAACTTGGTAAAATGAATATTTCCAACTTATTTTATCTCAGAGTTTATTGTCTACCTGATTACATTAGACAAGTAACTTCCCTTTCACTGATTTCAAAATGACCCAGTTCTAAATTACGAATCGTTTGTAAAGTGATGGTTTGGCATCACTTTCAATCATGGGATCTCGTTCCACTTTGGTTTAGGGAGCCAAATAGCATCACTAACTGTGAAACATCAATATATAGTTTAAAGCCGAGTACATTTATTTCAACCTTATAAATAAATTACGAGACTGTTAACCATTTATCTTAGTAGAAAAAATACTATAACTTTTCTGTGCGAAATTGATTTTTGTCAAACATAGTGTTTAAAGCAATTAGTCCCTTTGATAAATTTAAATAGTGTAATAAAAAGACATTTTATTACATTATCGAAACATATTGTTCTCGTTTCAAATATAAAGATCAGATTGTGTGTGTATGTCTATAGGAACCAGGTAAACAGAGTTCATTTTACCAATCGTAATCAATCACCTTCATCGTCACCGTATGTAAACAACTTTTACAAACCGTGTAGAAAAATCAAGTAGTACCAATACCATGTTTAAAATATTCATTAAGATCTTTTTTTCAAAAATTCTTTCACTAACGATCATATTCTTTTTTTCATTTCTTAGTGGTACTTATATGGTTATTGTTATTATTTTCCCAGTATGGAAACAGGATCCAATTGTTCTAATGATAATCATCATCGTCAATTATTTAAAAAGGATTCATTAAAGTGTTTCTATTCACATTCAGTAACTGGCAAAAATGAATTACCAACAACACCAATAACAACAAATGCAATTCCAACTGTTAGCCATGAATGTTCTAAATTCGTAATAACTACTGAAACTTTATCGCCACTCAATAATCAGAATAATTGTTCAAATGATTTAAAATTCATGGATGATAGTACTTCATCATCATCGTCATCAATATGCGGTTTGGATAGTTTAGCTTGTACTGCCAGCGGTAGTGGAATGTTATCATCAGAATCACCAAGTGATTTAACAGTAATTACATTGACATCGAATAATTCTAATAAATCATTATCATTGTCATCATCTTCATCACATACTCCTGCTACTGTTGCTACCGTTATACATGATCTTGATGATTATAGGAATGGTTGTTCACATAATGGATTACCTATTAGTGAATCCTTACAAAATACTCATCAAATACCACGTTCTTGTACGTCTTTAAACAAAACCACTTCATTTTTCATCCCTCCTAAATCAAATAAACCTGTCGGTGGTGGCGAACAGTTGAAAGCGACTGGACCATCATCGTCATCTGATGTTATGTTAAGTGCTAATAAGACTTTATCGAATTTGTCAAGTCTTAAATCACGTATCCCAGTACCAGTTTCATATAACAATAGTAATAATCTTGAGAGTAGTCATCGTCCGACGATGAAGCCAAATTCGACAGGATCTCAGGTTAATCAAGCTTCAAAAAATGGTCCACTAGTATCCGATTTATTGTTGAACAAAAGATCTGCACATGGAGTAAGTGTATTTATGTATATTACCCGATTGTTTAGTACTGTCTAATGTATAACTGTAGCTGTTTTGACGAATGCTTAGATGTGCCTCTGTCGATACTATGATCCCTTTCAATGTTTTTTTAAACTCCAGTAAACAATCCAATCTACGTCCCACTAACACCTTCATGCTTCTTTGGTTATCTAAAACTATGACCAACCTATTACTGTGTCTTTTAATGGCAAGATTAATTTGGATTGTTCACTGTTAAGAAAAGACCCATAATATATTTCTAATGTTCAACATAATATTTTATCTTGGTAAGAATCAGAAAATTTCATGATGTGAATGTGAAAATCAGAGGAATTCCAAATTAATTAGCTTTAGTGATTTAGATCTATTGCATATACTGTTCATTTCATATAGTGTGAAGCAGTGGCCCAGTGGTTAGGGCACTGAACTTTCAAGTATGTTTTGTATCCAAATTCTGTCGCAACTATTTCATTTTAACTCGACGGGTAGTGCCACTACTCCCCACTTGAAGTGCAACTAAAAGCTGAACATATACATAGCCTTCAACCGTCAACTTGTATCTTCCGGTGTATTCTGCAATCTAAACTGTCTTCTCTACTGGCCTCCAAGTGTTTCTACCAACACCGTGCTTCCGATGCATTAAGAGTCTTTACTCTATCCGACAATTATTGCGACTTCGACACCACGTTCCTCTACACGTTACTTACAAACGTCCTTATGAGTAGCGTACACTACACTACAGCGTCATTGAAGGAAAAAATAACCAAAAGGATTGAAAGGGTTCTGTACAGTTTTAGATATTGCAAATTTCAAAAAAGTCCGATAACGAGGGTGAAGACTGATTAAAAATATTACTGAAACAAATTTAATAAAATTCACAAACAGTTTACTCGGGTAAAATTAAATTACATTTCAAACATGGAAGCACTAACGACCTTACGTCAACAATGTAAAAACCTATCAGTACAGTACGGTTAAATACGCTTCGGCTCTAGGTTTATCTTCAAGTCGTTTGATTGTATTAAGAAAAGTGATTGGTCAAAAACAGGAAAAAACTTGTCAACATTCTGATACTAATTCTTCATGGGATTTAAAAGCTCTCGATAAGTCTATTTTCTCTCGTTTTATGCCTTAAGAAGTAAAATCGTTGGAATCTATCCTTTGCAACATGTGAAAAAATATATACTCAGAAGCTAACTATATTATATTACTTAACATTATATATACTACCCTGTTCCCCAGTCCAAGATAAGTAAAGCTGAATTCGAACTTGAGATATATTGTTGAAGCAGTTCTTTAACCACCGTTTCACCCAACAATGCACACACACAAGCTCTCTAGAGATCGAACTTTGCACTATGTTTTACAATAAGATGACTAAGTCAATTATTCATTTTTTTTGCTATGGGGATAACCATACAGTCGTTTTGTTGGCTGATGTTGAGCTCTTTGTTCACTTCACTTATCTGGAAGGTCTCATCAGTCCCAATTGGTCGGTGTCTGACGAAATCGTGCGACGTTTTCAAAAAATATTAGTCTTTGGCAACTTCTGACTGGTGGAGTAGGCAAGGTATGCTTCTGGTAACAAAAGAATGAGTTTACTACGCAACAGTTCATTTCTAATTTATGAGCGTGAAATATTCGTAGGTTCCTAAAGTTTGATCATAGATACCTTCAAAGCATTGCTCAGTTATATTGAGATCATTTAGTCAGCAATTCTGAAGTTAACCATAAGATACTAAGTAAAATCTCATTAGACTGACTAGTTGAAAATGGCAAATCTATTGATGATGAGATGGTTTGGACATGTAAAACTCATGTCCAACCACCACCTACTTCGATGGACGATGTTGTCTGGTTTATGAGAAGACTGGGGGAAAACTAGGAATAGATGAACTGAGTTATTGCACCAGTCTAGAAAGTTATTGATCTTTAAACTTAATGATGTAAGAAGACATAGACAACCTAGTTGGGGTTTACGTAATTATTGTAACGAATGATTAGAGACTTCAGGCGACTTAATTCAGAATCGTTCACAATGGCCCAAGTACCATCGTTCTTTCGGTGGTTCCTGAATCTCAAAATCTTTTTATGCCTTTTTGTTTCGTTTCTTTTTCAATAGCTAACATTTTTTTACCACTATTGATACTATTACTATTTTCTCATACTTCTGAGTTTTGTCTTGATAAATTTGCCTCATCGTATTAATGTGATACAGCAACTTGAATTGATGCATATATGTATATACCAGGTTCCACTTTTCACATGACTAACTAACGGAAGTTAATTTTCTTTCCTATCACTACCCTATATATCATCGATACTCGATGTTAATAATAACAATAATCCCTGCTATTTTATTTATTGGCATTGTTATTCTGATTTTTTTTACTTAAAGTACATGTGAGCGATCAGCTGTAGTGATCGATCGTAAAGTAACTATAAAACAAAGTGCAAACGAATTTCGCTTTCATATATAGATGTACTTTAAGTAAAAAAAATTCAGGATAACAATGCCAATAAATAAAATAGCAAGGATTATTGTTATTATTAACATCGAGCATCGATGATATATAGGGTAGTGATAGGAAAGAAAATTAACTTCCGTTAGTTAGTCATATGAAACGTGGAACCTGGTATATATATATATATATATATATATATATATATATATATATATATATATATATATATATATATATATATTAGTTGTTTGTCGCTTAAAAATCTATATAATCAACCATTCCAATTTGTCACTAAATAAGTAGTTCATTTATCTTGTTGATTTGAATACAAGTACATATTCTATAGATATAAACGATTACCACTATCACATTGTAGTACATATGTACTGCATCTTTTATAACACCATAGTATTCAAATGAAAAACCACGAGTTTTATTTGGTAAATCATGCAAACATTTAACCATCTAAGTTCTTATATTATAAGGACACTTTTGTATGTTGATGAAACCGATGCACTGACCAAAACACTCAACTACTAAATAAATGACAACCTTCAGATGTCATAGTAACCAATCAATATTATTTGTATCTAGTGGCTTCAGAGTAGTTTTATTACTATCATACTGCTAAGATTTCATATTTACCTCGATAAACAAACACACTAACGTCATTTGTGATGTACCAACTTTGGGCTGAGAAAGGTGATTATTAGTCACGTGGATTAAGTGTTAAATCATATAGTCATCCAACATGCATGGGAAACTAACCGTTCACAGTCAATTATGCTCAAAATCTTCACGATTATTGTCCTACTCCAACCTTCATGTAGTTCTTGATTGTGGTATGAGACATGCTGGTATGTTCAGACTACCTAATTTGTAGACCACTTGAATACCGTAGCCCATTGTTGAAAATGCTGGTAGACATATTTTAGAATCGGTCACAACGGCCTAAATGCATTCAATCTTTATCTTTCTCGAGTGACAGTTACCGATAAGATTGAATTAATGACTTGAGTTTCGGAATGCTTATACACAAACTAAACATAATATAAGGTTAAGTTACATGCGTTTGGAGGAGATTACTTCACAGATCACTCTCCAATCAACTAAGATTTGGTGTGTGAAACCTAATTCTTGAGTGTTATACCAATGTTACTACACATTAATTACATGTGAAACAAGCGAATTTGCACAATGTTGGTTAGATCCTGGAATAAGTATTTCAAAATGAACAATTTACTTTTGTCTTCAAATCATTTCAATCAAAATTAATCTATTTCATATGGAATTACAACTTAATTGTTTTTATCATGTTAATTGTATTTTTAAGTATTATAACTTACTTATTTTCATTTACTGCCATTAAATTTCATTGGAACCATACTAGAATTGTGTTGTTTTGCTGTTCTCTCATATTTTCCCTATTCCTTTACATCTCATCATTAATTCTACCTATAATTGTCGATAATATTTTGTGTATATGCATGTGTCTGTTTATTTTCATAAAACTGATTTTATCCCGTTCAATTTTTTTTTTTTATTACTACATAAGCAATAATAGAAAACTGAACGTATTTACGACCAAACAAAATTTTAACCATACTGTGCAAAACAAATAGAAAAAAATAATTTCACACTATCAGACAAATAACGATTTATTGGACGATCAATAATAACTAACTAGATATATTTATACTTGTGTGCATTTGTGTGTGTGTGTGTGTGTGTAAATATTAGTAGTTAAATGAAATCGTGATTTCTAAGAGTCTGCATAAACAACACATTCAGCATCGAATGATTACATTTTGTACTTTCTCTATTGATTATCTGTGTGTATAAAACAAAATTTAATAAATTAAATTATTCACCAGATACTTGGGTATGAGTTATATTCCAAGTGTGAAGGCTAATAAAATACTACTCGATTGCTTAAACCAACGTAGGATAGAGCGGAATTCTAACCGAGAATTTAGTAGCTGAAAGTTGAACACCTTAACCACCAAGTAGTCATTGTTCTATATGTATGTATACTGATTGTTGTTGGTGTTTATTTAATTAAGTGGAAAATAGTAATGCATGTAATGCTTAAATTGGTTTCTTGTTAATAATCTGAAATTTCTTTTTTGTTATGTTATCTTGTTTTGTTTTCTCAATGATAATAATTTGTCATATGCAATCAAATTCCCATAATCATTGCTATTATAATTTTATTTTGTCTTACTGATATGGGCATGACACGTTAGGTAAACGCATATTTATGCCAGTCTCCACATTACTAATTAGATAACTGTCTTATCCTCTCATCTCTTTTAACACATTACTGAGTTAGTACTGGTTGTATATTTTTGTATAATTTTTTATCCAACTAACTGTAAGGTTATTCCTGTTGTTTCTATAATTCATGGTATACCTTTTGGGGTTGAGTAACTAGGACGTTACTACAAAAAGTGGTAAAACATTACTTGTAACACCGACTGTAGATTAACATCTTAGTTCCTAATATCGATAAAGCATGAATACTTTCTTTTAAAGCTCATCAACCTCACTATATTTTTTTATTTAAGTTGACAGTCAGTTTTAGGCATCAAGTTTATTTTATAGCTCATAACCCATTGTATTTGTAGGTTACATATCAGTCTGGCAACCAAAGGACAAATACCATACACAGTTGTTCTCTCTGTTTTACCTCATAGCTATGAAACGTAGCCCTTAGAATTGGAGAATATTCATAGGTTACTAGTATGTGATAATACCTTTGAAGCATTGGTCATTTATGTTGGAGCCATCAAGTAAGCAGTGATGAGGTTAGATATAGGGTAACAGGTTAATATGCTAAATTGGTTGATAAGGTTGTGAATCGTCATCGACCTAGGTGGATAGGATATATAGCGTATCAGCTGATAGGTTCCGCATCCAGATTCACTTCCAACTCTCAGTATCATATTGTCATACCAATTTCCATGTATTGATTAATAATGACAGGTATCAGTCGATAATAGTTTACTGAGTTAATTTTCACGTATATTATCAGTTTTAAGAGAGTAAAATAGGTCACAATGTCTCAGTCACATTCATTTTCTAACTCTATCCCTGTAAATAATGAAATAACTGTCATTCATAACTGCATTTTTCTATCTAATTTCTCTTTTGAATTGTATTTCCTGGTGGTTAGATTTGTACTATAGCTTAAATTGTTTCTTTTTATATTGTGATTTCCTTCTCTTGCTGTGCTTATGTAATATGGGTTGTTACGTGCAACAATATATAATTTTGTATCAAGTCTTACATTGATGATGATTGATTGGTCTTTTTATGTCAGCCAGTTATCTAACGTACTGTTAGGAGCATATGAGCAGTTGTCAATGCTCAGTCGCCCACGCCACGAAAGGATACTTCTTAAGATACTTGAAAAGAAAACAGGGTCTTGACAACCTGGAAGCATGGTTGTAGTGTTCAGGAGACGATTTCTTGAGGCCGATCACAGTTTTGGATGAGTTAGTTCCACGTTTTTGTGACCTTGAATGACATGGCTCAAAATCGTTTGCAATGGCGCAGGTGCATCCACTCTTTGTGTTCTCTGAAACTCTAATCTTTTGAATTCTTCATGTCCTTTATTTTCTTTCCCAATTTATTCCACTGGACTATACTCCTTTAATAACATCATCAAACCTTAATGTCCCCTATCTCTACTTATACTTTCAGTACCTCTACCACTATGGGATTTGAATCGATAACTGAATCTCTGTGCTAATTTGGTATGGCAACTCGAACTGATGCACGTACGTACGAAGTTTCACGTTGTTACTGACTGACTTTTATGGCAAAGGAAATCGATTAGGCTAGGTGAGGTGTGTTTTTTTTAGAGCCGATCGTTTCCTAACCCTCTACCTTTGTGGAAAGGTAGAATCTTGGAGGCGCTGGTTGCCTAAAGACAGCGTACTACTGCCGTCACATCCATGTATACACTATCAGTAGTACAACTTCACCCTCAAATCATACGTTTTTTCTCTAATCAACCTACTTTGCGTGTCTATACCTAAAAATGGTATTTTCCTGTTCCAATATAGTTCAATTGGGTTATCACGATATCAACCACATCAAGATAATAGCTATAATCAAGTATCTTGATGTAAACTGAAATATGTATTATATCGATAAACTAAACTCAACTCCAATTCATAGTTTTTTGTTTATTTTTATTCTCTTCTTCTCAAAGCAGTATAATCCGTTATCTTCACCTGTCAAATCATCTGAAAATGGTCATATTAATGATGATGATGATAATAATGATAACAATAATGATGATAGCATAGATCATTCAGACTATTCAATTAGCAAAAGTGTAACTATAAAAACAAAATGTAAGACTACACATGCATATCCTCCACTACCACCTCTTTCATCGAATCGTGTTGATTCTCATAAATGCACAACCATGTCATCGAAACCAACTAATCATTCAGTGTCTACAGTAGCACCACCAATCCTTTTATCACCAGTAACAACGGCGACGACGACGACAACAACAACACATTTAGTGAATGGTTTGGGCGAAAATATCGTATCTTGTCCAATTAAATCACATCCTAATGAAGTATTACAAGATACTAATGGTAGTGTTAAAAATACAGAAAATAATTTAAAAGATCTTTTACCAACTTTTTCTTCAGACTCATCAGAGTCAGAGGACAGTGAATCAACTACGGAATCAATATATCATCAACCACCAAAAGCTGCAGATCGTAGTGCAGCTTTTAGACTGGCTAAAAGACTTTTTCATTTAGATGGTTTTCGTATAACAGATGTTGCCAAACATTTAAGTAAACGGTAAGTTGAAATCTCTTCGCTTTTTTTGTTCAATCATATAACTGAATATATTACTGTAATTCCTTATTGTCATTATGGTCAACTTGTCAACTGAAACGCTAGTTTATTCTCTTAAATTTCGGTAACTTAGTAGTTAAGGTAGGTACTCGACTTTACAATAAGTAAGTCACACGTTCAAAACAGTGTGACTGAAAGCCGAGTACGACTAATTAATTAAGAATGCATCATTCAAGCGACTCAGATTAATTTGACAAAATTGTGAACAAGGATATGAAATTTAGAAGATTTTAAGTCCATAAAATTAATCATTATGTACATTTCACCTATACCTACGTTTTAAGTTTCTCGGTAAGCATAAAATATTGGAACCATAAAATCAAAATCCATTATTTCATATTCCCAACATAACGTCACAATCATCAATGACTGTCCCATTCCTGATCTCAGTAAATTTCAATGGGTACAACAATCCACTAAAACCTTGGTAATTAGTTGTAAGGACAACTACACACACTGTATTGAAAACTATTCAACGCTTAACTTACACAATAATTCCATTCATTGAATTAGTTCCTTACCATCAGTTTTCTTTTTTTTTTGAAGAGAAAAATAGGTGGGAATTTTCAAGTAATGAAACAAACTTTTTTTATGATGCTAACAGTTTTCTCTTTATTGATTATTTCTTTTGAATATATTTAGTATAATGCAATACGGTTCTTCCTGCTTGTTCTGTTCTCTCTCTTTCTGTCTATCTGTTTTTATGTATTATTTTCACTGATTATTCTTGTTAATAAACACTTCGTTGTTAATAGTACTTTTAAACAACAAATTAACTACTTACTGACTGATTATCATCTGTACTACTACCACTTTTAGTTGACATGTTTTTATCCTAGTTTTGTAGTTTGATTGCGTTTAAGGACGAAAAAGAAAAATGGAAAGAAAAACGGGAAGAAAAGCATGGCTTCATATTTCTTTCACTGTCTTCTTTCCTTTTTTTTCTGCTCATTCAACGGGCCAGTAAGTATTTATTAGTGTCTGGAGTCGTGTGTGGTTGCGTGTATACCATTCCCTGTTGTTCAAAATAGAAAAATATGTTATTGTTTGCTTCCTCTTTTACGTGAAAAATCTTTATCTTTTTTATTTTGACTTTTCAAAGCGATTAGTTAATGATTTGAATCTGTCTCTGTTCTTTCGTTGAGTGCTTATTTAAACATTCGTAGTAATGATGTTACTAATAATAGCAGTGCGTCTCAGATACACACCATGATTTTTCATATCATGCATCGCTTTTGGAAGCTATAAAAAATGAACACCAGTTCACAGGCATTATCCGGTTGATATAATGGGTAGATAAGTTTGTTCTAACTAAGCTGTAAATCGTGCTTATTATATAGAGTCCGCTTAATGTGTCACTAAATGACAAGTGATGTGGGGTCGTGGATGCGTACTGTTGAGAATTGGAATGCCAGGACAAACAAGCTGTTCAGTGATTTGTAGTTTGCAAAGGTTGTTTAACTTAGATCAGTTCGTTAACTGATAATAAACTACAGTTTTATGACACGGGACATAAAATCAAAATAAATGCTAACGTAGTCATTATTGAATTGAGTTACTCAGGAATAATTTGAGACATCAGTATGAATGTGCACCTGATTAAGTTGTCATACTTTATGTTAGCACAGTGAAAGAGGGAAATATCAAGATGAATTGTACTGGGTAACTGAGGTAGTGAATCGTTGTTGACTGTGGTTGGGTCGAATTTTTTCCCAGTCACCCCCTACCTCTGGGGTGAATGTTGTCTTGTGTAGAAGTAGACTGCAAGAAAGCTAGGGCTGGTTAAACCAAGATATGGTATCAACTAGTGATACCATTGATAATTGTACTGAGCCATGTAAGCAAGTGTAGACTACCTGATTGGGAGTTCACTTGATTATCTTAACTGTTGATTGGGGACTATGTAACATGTCTCGGAAGCGTTCTCAATAGCGCAGGTACATGCACTTTTACTATTTCTATAGAAACTGAGTCTCGAAATATCTTCTGATTTTTCTTCTTTTTAGTACTACTGATACTATAAGTACTCCTACTACTCTGGAATTTGTCTTGAAATGATTTTATCTCACTGTGCTAATATAGTATGGTGACTTGAACCGACGCACACATGTACCAGGTTCTGTGTTGCACAGATTGTTTAATTGATGTTAGGGTAACAACTAACTCTTATCTAGGGTATATATATATAAATATATATATATATGATGTGGCCTGTTACAAATTCATATCTTCGACTATTAAATCAGATTGTTTTAGTGTTACTACTCAAATCTTTAATTACATATGGGTTTTGGATATGAACTATGAATTCACGAATCTAGTATCTAAAGCATGGTTTGAACGATTGACGCTATCAATTTTAAGTTTAGATGCTTAACCCTCATCATTGATTCATAAAAGGAAGGGTGGATACATTGTAAAAATTTTCTCCCTTGATGAATAATTGTTTAAACTACTGACTAAAATCACAGTCAAGTAGATTGACTCATTGTTGTTTGCTTGTAATTTATATGGATAGTACTGCTAAATATATATTTAGATCAATCTGTCATTTCATTACTTAAATAATATAGTGTACAAACTAGGATAACACTTGCTCTAATCTATCTCATAATATACATCAAAATATATCAAAATCATTGATATCAACGATCTGTACTGTTATCTTTCCAACTATTTACCATCTTATATGTTTGTCGAAAAAAATTTCTGTCAAATAAAAAAAAAAACAGCCTAATTTTCTCAATGTAGGGTTGATGTTTTTAAAAGTATCACAAAAGCCTAATATATATTTTTTTGGTAGGATTCAACCTAGCAACTTTCAGATTCTTAATCAAGTTACAGTGTATGCTAACCAAGTTTTTTTTTTAATGTCTCTGTATGTTGTTTCAGAATGAAAGACATACAATTTTTCATAATTCATCATACTAACAACTTATCCGAATATTTCTATTTTGATTTAAATCTAAACAGAAATTGTTAGTGATATCAAACAAACAGTTGAACTAATTTTTAGACTATTTGATATATTATTATTGATTAGTTAACTGATTCGATACACAAAAATAATGTTGTAACTGTAATTGAACTCTTTCGTTATGTTGTTACTTTTGGTGTTAGCTGACTATCATTATTTACAAGTTTATCTAATTATTATTCTTAATAGTTTATGTTTTCCCACCGTTTAATATACAAGACCGATATTGATCAATTTCTGTTAGTATCCATATTCTCTACCTGAACAAACACCATGACATTGCTTTTAGTTATAAGTTTCTTATATTTTTTGATGATGACTAACAGTAGATTCTCTATGGTGTCTGTCTTGTATATACAGCTAATGAGTCATATACAAGATGTGACATACGTTTTGGATTCCATTGTCAGCTACTTTTTAAAAAATGTAAGGGGTTTTGTTACATGTTATTTATTGAAGTCAAAAAATATTACTGATATAAATCACTATTTGATTTCCCTCAGCACATCTTTTAGTGGAGTATAATTATCAGAGAGTTCAGTTAAATATTTTTCAATAATTGCAATTGAAATTTGAGTGAATCAGCTGTAACGCTGATTTACGTATTATGTGTCTCATTTAATGGATAACAAAACCATTGGGAATAAAAATATCTGTCACTCCTCGAAGTTGCGGCTTATCGATGTTAGCATTCAGTTATGGAGATTTTCCGGTCTCTAAATAAAGCACCACAATTATAATAGTTTGTGTAATCAGATAATGTTTGGCCTCGACACATATATAGTGGCTCATAACTCAATATATGAACCTATACATGTTTTCTGCAATTCTGTTTCCTACTTCCTACTTAATGTTGTGGGTCGATAGTTAAACGTTTAACTCTCAACCACTAAGCTTCAAATTCGAACCCCGCTTTACCTTTTCCATTTTGACAGTATCACTAGCCCTTACACTTTGACTGTAGTTTGTAGCTAGTTACATGAATCTGTACTTCTTGAATGAATCAGAAATATTTTTACGGTAATTCATTTAGTAAGACAATAAATCGGCATATTAGGCTCTAAACTTTCATCCTCAGGTTATTGGAATGTGTGTTACGTAATCCCTGTTACTCTGTTGTACCGCACAATTCAACTATCATAAGAGTGAGTTACAAGAAGGTTAAGTTAAATTAAACCAATAGTAATACCAATTCATAGTCATTGAATTCTTGTCTGAAACACATCGAGAGGTGCGAACTTCCTGTTTGGAGTCCTCTTAATAATCGTAATCAGTCGTTGCATTGGAACATTACGAGACCTCGCTTTCAATGTCTCAATTGCATTTAATTTTTATCTTCCTTCATATCTTGACTTCCAAAGTTACCGTATGTTATTTATGCCTTAAATCCGTATTTTTACTGGAATTATATTGTCTACACTTAGTACTATCCACTATCATTGGTACTGTTATATATTCTAGTTATCTGGAATTGGTCTTAAAAATTGAATCTCTCTATCTTAATGTGATTTGACAACTTGAACGAGTGCAAACATATTTATGACTGACTAACTCTTAATACTCATCTTATTAAGTTTCTCTTTCATTGACTTGTCGTGACACCTTAGACTGACACAGTTTTTTCCTTGCAAAGTAGTGCATACTTTCAGTCTAGTAGAGCGGTAGCTCAGTGGTTAAAAAGTTTTACTTTCAGGCGCTAAGTTCCAGGAAACGTTACAAAATAACATATTAAAAGAGTCAACGAACCAATGACATTTAAGGTCCTCCCAAGTGGAAAATGTGACATAAAGATAAAAATGAGCGCTTTTGGCGCGAATTCAAGAAATTCAAATTTCCCAAATAAAATTAAAAAAACAACACATTTACCAAGTGAGTTCTGGTAATTTAACACCTCTAACAAGTTCAAACCTGGGACTTAGTGGCTAGAAGTCGAATATCCCAATCACAAAGCCAACTGAATAGTTCATTTATGGTTTTTTTGAATAGGTGAGCTCAGAGAACACACCACATGCTAAATTCTCCTTTTAAGCTTGATAAAATGTTTTTAGAACTTTCATGTTATCACTTTTTCCGTTTTACTTTCAAACCTATTTCCATTTTTTCATCTGTAGGAATGATTTTAGTCAACTTGTCGGTGAAGAATTTGCCAGTTTCTTTGATTTCACCAATCAACGTTTAGATGTTGCGTTAAGATCATTTTTAAATAGTTTTTCATTGACTGGTGAATCACAAGAACGTGAACGTATATTGTTACATTTTTCACGACGTTTTCACGCATGTAATCCGACTAGTTATTCTTCTGAAGGTAAGTGGTTTTTTTTTCACAATTTCAAAATTTAGAGATTATTTTAGGCATATATCTATGTTTTGTTGTTGAAATTATTAGTATAAAGTCAGTTTAGGACAACGTTTGTCGTGGTAAACAGTAGAACTGTTGTAAATCTGATAATTAGTGTGTAATAATTTGATCAGTCAGTCAGTCAAATAGATAGACAGACATCAACATGGAACAGCAACACAGGTGTGTGTTGACCCAAAGTTGCTATGCTACATTAGCTTGGTGAGATGAAAATAACATTGGATAGCTATCTCGTTCTAATATGGTACTTCTCAAAAATGTATATTTACGATCCCCACCACAACAAAGTGAATCCAGGATGTTCCGTCTCACGTGAACACTTAGTCTTTAATTCACTGAGCCACAATCTAATAATGTTAATATCTAGCTTCAATCAAGTTACGATATTGCGCGGCTATCTTCTTTTGTTTTTAGTGGATACCTGTCGCACACCCGATATGGTTGAACTTCATTGTTCACAGCCTCTCACTAGATGTTCAATAGTCAGATCTTGAATTTCCATATAAATGCCAATTATAATATGAATCTTTAGTCTTAGTAAAATGCTCACTGATAGCTTCATTGCATGTGGCGGGATATTTACGATAACGATATCGACTAATAATTCTGTTTTATTAATAAAATTATATTAATTATGTCATACAAGTATTCAAACTAGTGTCTCAGATACTAACTGCGCCGCTATATTTTACAGCTTCCTATTCAACTCTGAAACTAATGAGTTTTGCGTAGTCTAAAATTTTGTTTAACTTTCTAACTCTTAAATGAATATCTATTAATATTTTTTTGCATTAATTGTATAACATTTCGAAATTTATCAGTTAGAGATACACTAACAGATTGATCTTTTTGGCACAAGATTAAATCACCTCTATTCCTATCCTTTCCTCTCTTTTCTTATAGAACTTCCTTTTTGTGTTTCGGATTTCTTTGATATTTCATTTTCTTTTTCTTTCTCCATTTCCTTCTATCTATATTGATCATTAATCATATTTGTATGTATGTATGTGCGTATATATATATATATATATATATATATATATATATATATATATATATATATATATGTTTGAACGTGTTCCACAAGTTGTCCATACAATTTAGACAAAGTATGACTGACAACTACTGGTTAATAATATAAACACTATTGGCACATAGATCCATCACATTATTCGTGATTCACACTGGTTGATTGATTGATAGGTAGATAAATGGTTATTATTATTATTATTATTATTATTATTATTATTATTATTATTATTATTATTATTATTATTATCAGTACTTAATCAATAGAGTAGGATTGATTATTTATTTGCTGAGTTTTGTTTTTGTCACTGGTTCATAATCGACATCAGTGGTAGATAATTATTTTTCGGACAAATTAGGAAAAAGAAGGTACAATCATCACTGATGAAATAGAATTCTATTTTGTGTATGTGTATGTCTATTCAGTCTTCTTGATTGATCATGATGCTGTAATGAGCACTAGCTAGCTGTACATAGACGATGATGATGATGTTTTTGTGTAGTTTATACAATTATTCAGTATATTTGTGTATATTTATAGTTCGTAATACATAAAATGTATACTTCTCACTTACTATCTGTGCATGACTGAGTACTGTGTGTTTACTCGTACTCAGAAATATTGATATAACAACTTTTTAATTTTTTTACGCGTATTGATGTGAATCGCCACGTGCTTAGTTAATAGTTATATTAATCACGTTCTTATCACTACTACTATTAATAATTACTATAATTATAGCGATAATGTATTAATAATAGTTTCATTAAAATAATATGACATTGCTTTACTATGATAATCGGTCAGCACACTTAGCAACAATTTATACACCACAATTAATAACCTAGTGAGATTGCTGAGTTCAGAAAAAATGAAAATTTATTTGACAAGATAGAAAATCTTCATCGACTAAAGCGGTTGGAACATGTAATGCGTATTTCCAACCACCATCTTTTTCGAAGAATGATGCTTGCTTCTGTAGGAATAGACTGGCAAAGATCTAGAGACGGGCAGTTCGAAATATGGAGTCAGTCCATCAAGTCATTGATAGTCGAAGTGTATTGTGTTGGTTGGTTCAAACTACGTGGTTGAAGTTCGCCCGATTACCGTAACCAATGACTTAGAGCTTCATTTGTTCGACCCAGTATTCCTTGAACACTTTACTTCACTCGACTGGTACCCAAGTTAAAGATTATAATTATATTCCAAAACAAAACGGTAAATTAATTAGGTCCATACAGTAGGAAGAGTGGTGTTTTGCGTCTAATTTTTATACAAGAAGATTCTGAAGTCTTCTGTATCTGATCAACTAAAAATGGGTCAGTTATCATGCTCCAACATAATTCTGTATAAAATATGGTTTAATTCAATCTGTTTCCTTCTATCACCTCCCCTTCTCACAGATACATAGGATCTGTATTTAGGGTCCACTTGCATCGGAATAAACGGTTTGCCCTTTCAATCCGCTTACCATCAAGGCAATAAGAAAGGGATACCACTCTTTGTCTATTTAGTTAGTTCGTCGGTCAGAACTGATGTAGAAACTAGCACATATGTACATCAGTTCAAGTTACCACACCCCATTAGCACAGTTTGATGAAATTGTCAAAGAAAATTCCAGACTCGTAGAAATAGTAACAGTATTGATGGTAATAGAAATGATAAGGCATCCAAGATAAAGTTCGATAAAATATAAGCTAGTGAGATAAAAAAATACAAAGAATTTAGAAACCTAGGATCTAATGGAATTTAACGAATAAATGCACCGTCAGTATTGCAAACGATTCTGAGTCTTGCTGTCCAAAGTCTCTATTCACTGATCGTGGTTACTATACGTATCTCTACCACATAGTTTACAAGTACTAACATAACTTTGTCCAACAGTCGGTGTCTTCGTAGACTGATACTATGTCTGAGTTTGACCACTCCTTACTTTGTTTCTAACCTACTCCTAATGGCGTCGAGTAAGATGACTTATAATCGGCTAAATGATCCAGATCCATTTTCTACTACTACTGATTGTTATTACTACTCTTGGATTTGTCGTAATAATTTCATCTCTTTCTGCTAATGTGATGAGTCAAATTGAGCCTAAGTACATATGTGCCAGGTTCAACCGAGGGAAACTGCTCAGTTTTCGTTTAGTAGCTTTGATCATATACAAGCGTCATTTAGAACTCGTCACTATTTTAAACTAGTCTGGACGTGTCAGCTTGAAATTTCTTGTCAGCATCTAATGCTTATTTAAAACCTGTACTTTTTTATAAATCTTTATCCGCTCACTAAAAAATTAAGTCACTTAGTCAAAACTAAATGCATCATATCGCTTAAAATCAGTTATTATTATGATTTCGCCATCATATCTTTAGCAGACATTGTTCTTTATTATAAGTGGTGGGTAGTGGATAGCAATGGATTTAAGGACACGCGTTTCGTCCCATTTATTTATTTATTTTAACACATAGATATTGGTACAGGAAGGCACCAAATATATATGCGCCACACATATCTCATTTGATATGTGTGAGGGCTGTGATACTGCCCGGGTGCCCAAACCGAAGCAGGAGGTTTTCTTAGGGGGCCACACCCCGAGCCTTCGACCTGAAAGTCTGACCCACAAGGCAGTAGAGCATCTTAAGGAGATGCAGTCCCATGGTAGTCGGTGACCAACGATTGGTTCATACGCCATTTTTTCCTTCAGGATACTGAAGCCCATATGCACCATTGATTTGGGATCCGGCTCAAGCGCCGGAAATTCGCTTTTCGTCCCTGGCAGAGGCTTTATACGTATGGCCATGTGAGAGCATTTCGAGAGGGAGAGCGGACTCTCCCCACTCTCGGCCGTACCAGGGCATTTGGGGGCGATTTCAATTTCACAATAATGTCTATTGTTGAGCTGGTAAAAGATACAGAACACTAAATGTCTGTTTCATCCTAGTTCCTAATGTACAAAACGATAATCTCACATTGAACTGAACCCAGGATTTCTGCCTCTCACTATGACCATGATACCTAATATTGATTCACAATCACTTGTAGGTTAAAGTATCCCACTTTCAACCCACTGAACAAGTTAGTCACTATCTGAACCCAGTAAATGATCCGTTTGGCGTTTGAAGCGAAAGGTACCGGGTTTGAGTCCTGGTGTGAAAATCAACGTTGAGATCGAAGTATATTCAGCTGACGAGTCTCTCTCTGAATTCCACTGCTACCTACAATCTGTCTACTCTACATAACATTTATTTCATAGACAATAGTCTCATTGATCAACCCAGTCTTTATCATATTTATTAACCAGTCTTTGTTCCACACATCAATTCAACTCACATAGTTCTTTCCTCCCTACGCTTATGGTTTAGTTTGTGCAAGCACACTTCTCAGTTCTTCCAAAGAATTGTCTCAACAATTATTTCTTTTTATCATTTTAAATTTAAATGATATTGAATTATGGCTTTGCTTTTTGTTTCCAATTACCAAACATCTACAAATTACAGTTGTTTGCATAATCGTGTATTAACTTAATCCCTTAACTTTTTGGTAAAATCATGATCGTAGATTATTGAGTACTTTTTTCCTTCGTCGTTACTAATGTTGCTGCTTCAGTGAGTATTTGATTTGAAAGATAACAGCGAACAAACCAGTCAATATTAATAACAATAACACGTAAATCCACCCATGATTTATTGCAAGTTATTTTTGTAAATAAAAACAAGAGATAATTATTTCCAGACAGTTCAATAACATTCACTATCATTTACTTGCTTTGCCCCCCTCTCTCTGTCTCATCACATTTTTACTCTCCTCGATTCATTTCGTCTAATTGTAAACAAAAACATTTATAATTGGCGAATCGTCTAGTTTAATGCAACATTCTAATATCTATTTCCATGGATTTTAACGCACGAACTGATCTTATCCTTGATTGGCTGTTTCATCTTAGCATGGAACTTTTCAACAGTGCACATTGACGGACCCTGTCACAGGGACTCTAACCCAGGTCTCACTAGTGGCTAGCTTCAAAATGCGATTCTTGGGGTTCTAGTGAGAAGCATGACATGATATCTGTCCATTTAGTCATCAACTAACGTTTGAGATGTATGTGTGATGTTAGGTCTACACTTCATGATCGAAGTACGAACAGTCATTTTATCCAGTACTAAAGAGGAAAGTCTACTTGTAAAATCTCTGTAACTCAAACGTTTCGCTCGACAATCTGGTCCAACCTTTTTCAAGGAAATATAATCTAACATTTAAATTACTGAATATAAATAGGTACATGATTCTTAGGTTAACTGTATACTAATTAGGTCACCCATTCATGTTAACAATGTTCAATCTAAGTATTTTCTGTAGTGCGTATAAGAAATCTGGTGTGTAAAGAAAAGTGTGTGAAGATAACAGGCAGTATGCATGTGTAAGTGGATCAGACGTGTTCCTTCCCTCTCCCAATCAGTCGCCATAATATATATATATATATATATATATATATATATAAAGCATTACAATATCTGCATTTGATCTCATATATGCAGTTTTTTGTTCTTCCTTTCGTATTAGAACTTAGATTCTTACCAGATTGAATCTTAGAGTATTGTTTGTTCGAAAGAATGTCCTTATATTTTAAAGATTTAGGACCCTTCTTTCATTCCTTATCTCTCCAAAAGATTTTTTATTGTATCATATTTTTTCTAGTTAGGGAATGCACTCTTTTTCTCTGTCTACTTCTATAAACAACTCTTCATGTTTTACTTTTATCTGTTGTCAATCAAGTTAATAAGATGAATAAATTATTGGTTGCATTTTTGACTAAATATTCCAGTAAAATTACACGGTAATATCCCTTTTAAAGTCAGATACAGGTTTTTGATCATTGATCTCTTCGAATCATTGCCCTTATTTTGTGGGATGATCAAGTGAATAATGTTGCGATTATGGTACTTGATCAATGTTAAAAATCGGTTGATGATAATCTAATGTGAATCCTCATTGACTGAGATTGGTAGAACATATTTATGCCCAATCACCACTTACCCCGACGAGTGGCGTTTGCTAGTTTAGAAGCATGTAAGAAATTAGAAAAGGTCAAACTAATATTTGACATCAGTCAATAAAGTCACTGACTGTTGGTCTGAGTCATATAAGTAAATGCAGACTATCTGGTTGAAATCCGCATAATAAATGTAGTCAGTTTTGTGGTGAGATACCTCGGATTCGTTTTCTTTTTACCTTCCCCTCAATCTTGATTTAAAATTTTCTTCCATAAATATCTTTCTACTAAGTCTTCTAAATTCATAGTCCCACGACTTAGTCTTTCCTTTTGTGATTGCTACTACGTTATGTCGATCCCTTTCGTACTTTTTCATTTCACTGTGTTGTCAACTTGGGCTAACGCACATCTATGCCAGATTCTGTTGACGTTATTTGTCTTTTATCGGTTTGAGTCCACAGCGATGCACAAATTGATAAAGTTTTGAATAAGAAAGGTAGAAAAGTGGCCATAACAGGTGACAGTAGTTAATAATATCAATTATTTATAATTTATCATGATATACATTTAAAAAATGAACACAACAGCCATTGACGTGTACCTTAGGAGGTCGTAATTTTATTAAATATTGGTTTTTAATTTTGTTTATCACACCTTAAGTCTCACCAATAATTTTGAGATTTTTCTGTTAAATGTACGCCGTCTAACGAATACATTTATATCAGAAGGGGTTATGCGGATTCTTTAAAATAATTTTAATAGTTGAGATCATGAATCTTAATAGAAGCTAGACGACTATGGAAAACCTGGAAACACTGGACGGCCGTCTCGTCCTACTATGGGACCCCTCAGCAGTGTGCACCCGTGACCCCACCTCGCGGGATTAGAACCCAGGACAAACTGGTTTCGCGCACGAGCACTTAACCACTAGACCACTGAGTTGGCTGGCATCCGACGGTGTTAATGTCTAACTTCAACTAATCCACTGCCGTCCAGTGCTTCCAGGTTTTTCGTGGTGGTCTAACTTCAATTGACTCATGATATCAACTATTAAAATTACTAAAAACCTCCACAAAACCCCTTTTGATACTAATCAATATATGCTCACTAGTGACTGGCTTCAAGAGGTATTTCCTTGATTTCTAGTGAAAAGCATCGACCAGTGGAGTTCAACCGGGTCAGTTGTGAGATAGTAACTCATAGATGATAATGGTGGATGTATCGCTCAATTTCGTGGATTAGTTGAAGTTAGACATTAACACCGTTGGATGCCAGCCAGCCAAGTGGTCTAGTTGTTAAGTGCTCGCGCACGAAACTAGTATGTCCTTGTTTCGAGTCCCGCGAGGTGGGGTCATGGATGCACACTGCTGAGGGGTACCGCAGTAGGATGAAATGGCCGTCCAGTGCTTCCAGGTTTTTCATGGTTGTCTAGCTTCTATTGACTCATGATCTCAACTATTGAATACATTAATAATCAATTAAACAGAATTTTCGCTTATATGACTGGTGCTAGCGTCTATTTTTCACATGCATCGAATTGACCTTCATATTCAACATCATAATGTAAATAAATTAATCAATTGTTCCGGATCTTACTGTATAAAGATTGATCCTGTCTATCAGATTGGTCTTCACTCTACGACTTAACTTTTACTTGTTCTCGTTTTCAATATTAATTTACATATATTATACAGGTAATCACAAATATTATTTGGCTGGACACAAAACTTTCATACAATAGGTTTATCATCAGTTAACTCACACAACCGGATACTATCTACTCAAATTTTCACACTATCATGCATGAACGTACGTTTTTTTCAGTAATTCAGCTGAGCTTCTTTTCGAAAAAAAAATGCTATCCTATCATTGTATTAGGAGTGTTCATCGAATTTTTAAGTATATATATGTCTATATATAGGTCTTTTTGAATGATAATTAATTTTGCACAATTCTCCATTATGTAATCCTTATGTCTTTTTATTATTACTTCACAATAGATACTTGCCATACTTTAGTCTGTGCACTTATGTTACTCAACACGGATCTTCATAGTCAAGTAAGTGATGTTTTATCTGATAATTATTGTTAAAGACATTATTATTATTATTATAAGCTTGGTTTTATGGTCTTAGATTTATTCATTGATTTCACTTTGTCAATAATGCATAATTTGTGTTGAGTTGAGCTTTGATTACGTAATGGGTTGTTTTGTTTTGTATGGTTGACGTATATCTCCCATCATTGTTTAATTATCTGATTATATGACTCGTATTAACTAACTTCCATTGTGTAATTAACCTGCGAGTAGAGTTTCTGTATAAACGTGATTGGCTCAGTATGATATATTTATATATACAATGTTTACGCAAAATGAATTTTGCTCCTTTTTCCATCGGGATATCTATAACTCATGTTGTTGGCTTCATATGCCTAGCAAGGCCTTCATTTTTGTGATTTTTTATCTTTGGTTCAGTGTCTTCTACCATTTACCGATACATTTGCAGGATCAAATGAGAATTTCATAAAGAACTGAAATAAATACTTTATACAAAACAAAGTCGTCTCTTGGACTTAGTGGCTGAAAGCACTCGAACCACATACTATATCTTTGATTTGAACAGCCGCTAACTAGAATTTCTAGTCCTCAAACACACAATAGAAACATGCTTTAAACCTGAATGCTACAGTGTATTCACGGTGTGTGATTTTTCTCTGTACATAATATAGAAATGGTGAAGCAATGCCTTAATACTTAGGGTGTTCTACCTTCAGCCAGTTAGTCCCAGGTTCGAACCCCTCCACCTACTTCTGTTGGGACAGCCGATCAGTATCATTAATTTTCATAACCAAATAGCTGATAAGTTAGTTAATTATTGTTCTTTAATTATTACATGACGTATGTCACAGTGGGTTTTCCAGTATGGACCTTGGAAGTATCGATCTGCTGAAAACTCTTGTCCATATATTTCTCAAACATCCATTTATGGTTATAAATTTTCTTAGTTTAGTAATGTTTTAATTCATTAATCATACTTAACAATGACTTGTACTTATGCGCCTTGTTTACGACTTGTCATGGATGCAATTACTAAGAAACTTAAGAAATACTACCACAGTTGTTTGCATCGTCCTCTATCCTAAACGAGAGACGATAGGCAATTACCATGAAATTCGTACATCAAACATATTACCTTTTGTGAATATTTTCATATGACTTTAATTAACTGTTCACATATTTTCTTTCTAATATTCACAAGTTAAACGCTTGAAAGCTGGGAATTTTATTTCAATATTACATATTTTGTAATTCGAATTCTCTACGGTAATCGAAAATATCGTTTTAAATAAAGGGATTATTTGTTGTTTCTTTTTATTACATACTACTTACAGGCAATTTCATTCATCATAAAACATTTTTCATATTGATCAAATTCCAACTGTAAAGATGAAATTTAAGTATACCTGCAAATTTGTATAACTTCAGAATTCCAACCGCAGGCAAATTATTTTGGTCCACTTTTTGTTATACATTACTTACTTACGCCTGTTACTTCCAATGGAGCATAGGCCGCCGACCAGCATTCTCTTATACACTCTGTCCTGGGCCTTCTTTATTAGTTCCATCCAATTCTTGTTCATTTTTCTCATATCTATCCCCATTTCTTGGCGTAATGTGTTCTTTGGTTTTCCCCTTTCCCAAATGGCTTGTTATATATATGTAAACTATAATTCTCTCTGTAGTTGATTTCAGACACTTGAGTTATTTATCAAATCGGATAGAAATCCACTTTATGACGTCTTGTGTTTTTCTTCTCAAAACTTATACAATCGTTTACACACGTATATATAATTAATGTAGTGACAAGCTTGCTTGTTTTCGTTAGGGTATATGAGTTTAGGTTGGAGTGAAATTCATAGACTTTATTTAGTTAGCTAACTAATGGATAAAATCAATTAATCAGTAGTGAATCATCAAATCGAATAGAAAAATATCACAAGTATATAATACACTAGGAAACTGTAATATAATATAAAGTTCATTGCGTGATGTGATTATATTCAAGGAGGCAAATCATGATTATTGCAAGTTAGAATAGAATTTTGATTGAAGTTAACAAACTATTAGTAATAATCATAAAATGAATAAAGAATAAAGATCCAACCCGTTGCACAAACTAGTGGCTATCTGGAATTAGTGGATAAGTGGATAACGCGATGGCGTTTGAAGCAAACGGAACTGCGTTTGAATCCTGGAGTAAACATTACCTCTGGGATGTATGTACATCCAGCTGACGAGTTCAAAATAGGTCGAATTGCTCATCCTGGGTTCAATTACTAGCCACTATCCATCTTTGCTTATTGATGACTTTATACTTTTGCATTTCTCTTGACTATATGATTTTGAGATGTAATACCTAACGTGACAGGTAATACTCTTTAATAAGTGGTCACCTATGCTTGTAGCTCCAGAAGAGTTAACATACATATATATGTACAATACCACTAATTCTCACTCATGCACTGTAACCCAAAGCCAAGTTCATAAAGCGATATTAACGAAGTCTAAAATTCAGCTCTTATTTCAATGGCTAGTTGATATCATTCAGTTAGTTATGACTTCTAATTATGTCATTTTCCTGTCAATAAGTTGTACATGTGAATCTTGCCGTATTGAATGAACTATTTTCCCAGCTAGTGGTCTTATCATTGTTAACAGTGCTTTCGAGGTTTAAATCAACGACCTGGTCTCGTTGGTATTTATCACTCCGGCACATTATATCAAATCTGTCGGGATTCTGCTCACTTATAACAAAAACCTAAAACTCGTTCACTATTGATCATTATTCCTTTTTCATAAAAACCTCATAGGATATATGTATCTGTGACTCAGTATTAGTCTCCACAATATACATCACCCTTAAATTTATCATCGTCATAATCAAGGTAGATCTGGACACATATTTGGTTTACTAAGTTACCATATCATATTAGCATCATATTATCATCACATTAATAACGCAAATGACAAAAGTGATCGAAATCATGTATTGACATTAATAATTAGAAAGACTAAACTTAAGAATGTTGTTCGAAAACTTATACATCTGCTCCATTGTGACCGATTTCAGGCCAATATCATTCAACTTCTCTAACCACTAATTAGGCTTAACACGCTAATTTCAATTAGGTAGTCTGCGTCTGATAACATGGCTCAAACAAACTCATTCGTTTTCTGGTGTTTAAGATAATGGGTCCTTTAAAATCTTATTAGGAGTATCAATAATATACTAAAAATACACGTATATCCTGTTGAAGTTTCCTGGACGACAAAGAGATACACATTCTGTAGTTGTTAGACATAACCAAATATAGTGATTTCAATCCGTCATAAGTAGGTAGTTTCCAGTTCACCTCACTAGTTTCATTTTATACCAGCTAATGTGAATAGCATCATATAACCCAAATCCGAGCACACGAACCCTCATTTTAGTGATTCATTTATGAATAAATTACTTTCTATCCAGTAATAACTATCATTATTATTATCCAGCGATCGTTTTTACAAAAAAGCCTCATCTATCATACAATCGTTAATATTACAATTTATGAATATATTGAGTTTTGTTGTACTAAACTATGATATACATTTGTTAAATTAGAATGTAACAAAGATCCTTGATTATTTATCCTGTTTTTTTTGTCTACTGTAAAATGTATCGAATTAATAATAAATGACCGTCAGAAAATGATTGATTCCAGTGTGGAAATAAACAATGAATTTTTTACTTCTCTCTCGCTCTACATGTCTCTTTCTCTGAGTATTCTTTTTAATACTCAACTCCCTCTTATTATCTAGTTCAAAGGTTTTAGCCACTGTTTCACAATTACTCTTCTATAGTTATTAATCATTAACTACACAAAAAATTCCCTTTTTTCATTACCAGTACTACTCTTTACATTATTATCAGAAAAATAATTGGTTAGATCACACCATACATAATTAACACGAGGGATTTGTAGTGGAGAGATTATTGATTATTGTAGCTTCCATTATGGACTGAGTTTATTTAAACAACCTTTGAAAGCTAAAAAGAAAGTTAGTGAGTCTTCTAAACATTTAATTGAGACCACTGAACGAGCAATTCTAAGTTTACACCTAGGATAAGTAAAAACGATAGATAATACTACAAATCTTCACTAATTAAGGTGCTTGGGATATGTAAAACCAACCTATTTATAACCACCAGCTGCCGCAATAGACTATGTTTGCTTTTGTAGAAGTAAACTAAAAGACGTCTAGGGATTGACAGTCCAAAAAATGATATCAGTCCGTAGAGTCACTAACAGTTGGAGTGTATTGTGTTTGTAAGTTCGAAATATTCGGTGGAATTTCGCTCGATTATCGTTAGACACGTTGGATGAGATAGAGCTCTGAATCAGTCTCAATAACGCAGATTCATTCACAATTTGTACCACTTTAGATGTTGAGTTTCAAAATGAGCTCTTATTTCAATAGTTGAGATCATGAGTCAATTGAAGCTAGACCACCATGGAAAACCTTTTATTGTTGATTCTGAAAATTCGTTTTTTATCCTCGAATCACATTGTCTCGATCTAATGCCTTCTACTAATACTGTTACTAATTCTAATTCTATGCTTATGTAATGTAACAACTTTGACTGATGATATGTCCAACATGTTCTACGTTACTTTTAACGGACTATCCATCTCATCTTAGCTTTTTTCGACTATTCAACAGTACGCATAGTTCTGGTTTAAGCTCCTGAATGGTAAGAGCTTCGGCTATTTTTAAGAGTTGGATACGAAGAAATCTGGGTAGATTTTAAGGTTTATATGATTTGTTCTAATCTACCCAGATTTCTTCGTATCCAACTCTTAAAAATAGCCGAAGCTCTTATCGTTCAAGAGCTTAAACCAGAACTACGCGTACAAAAGAAGTACGTCTTATCGTTATCGTTACCTTGGCCTTAATTATTTTGATTATCCTATTATTATTATTATTATTATTATTATTATTATTATTATTATTATTATTATTATTATTATTATTGCATTCCCCTTTTACTTGTGTCTTATATTCTCATTGATTTTATTCGTAAATACTCATCATATTACCTTATTTATTTTTTACACCTCTATGACCTTTAATTATTATAACAAAAGCATTTTAATCATCTTATTATATTCACTAAATCTATTGTTATTATTCGTATTACGTAATCTAGTATTATAACCCCCTTTTTATTATGTCATGGTTAACTGTGTTCACATTTCCTCACGGAATTAGTACTTTTACAAAAAACAAAATTTCATATATATACGATTGTACAGCTTGATAATAAATTCACTTAGGACTAAATGTCATGATGTTCCATTGTGTTCCCCTCTTTTACTCACAATCTTTTCCCTTCTTTCTTATTCTCATCGGTGTATTAGGGTATAACAAAGAAAATGTCTTGTCAAGATTTTGTTAATAATCTAACTCAAATGAATTGTGGAGATAATTTTTCTAAAGAAGATCTGAAAGTATTATACAATGCTATTAAACAGGAACCAATACGTTGGCCTCAGTAAGTCAAACTGTTTACCTTTTTCTAAATCTATAGTCCAGTTTTGTTTTTAACATTTTCACAATTACATCAATCTTACTTTGTTGTGATACTGATGTCCAAATATGTCTCGTGTTTTTATCGAAGTTAGTGCATATTTATATTTTGTGAAGTAGTCCAAGTACTGAACTAAAAGTGATCTCCTAAGTGTAGCCGGCATTGGTACCTTGGTTTGACGGCTGGGCTTGTAAACCTCAGTGACTCAGCTGAGCCTTACTGGATGGAACATTTGTCCATTTAGGTCATATTATGTTACGTAGGTTGGTAAATATAAAAACAGTGAACTCAAAGTACACAGGCATAGTCTTACTTGAGATTACGCAGGAATGTGATAAAAGTAAAATATTTCCTTCGGACACGTAGCAAGTATGGCAATCTTATCTTCTTATGACAGAAGAATGAGTTACAAAGGTTTGGCAGTAAAGATAATCACACCCCACCTTGCTCTTACGAATTTCCATAGCCAACGTTAATGTCTTAAAAGTGTGGAGATAACGCGTGAAGAACTACTCACGAAAATGTCGTGTGTGACTAGCCTCAAGCTGTTGTCATTTAGTCTCTGTGGTCATGCTCCCATATCGCCAACACCACCACTAACCCCATATCTTTTTCAGGCATTTGAAGAAGAAGTATCTTTCTATTCGGTGACCAACCGAGAAGTGACAAATGCCCTCATACTTCGAACAGTAGTACTCAAGACTGGCTAACTGACTGAGAGTCAGCGACTTTGTGTTTTCTGATTCGTCTACTGTATATTACATTGTATATGAAAAGTTTTGTTCTTGAAATAAATTAGTTACCGCAACCTAACCTCACATTATCTTTCCTTTTTTACTCTTCAGTTCTGATGCAAATATGATGGGTTTTGTTAATTTATATTATCCTGCACCACCAAACGCTCTTGGTCCACCAGTGGTGGGTGCTCCAGTAGGTGGGTTTCTTACAGCAGCCAATTTTTATGCACCGAATCTTCCTCAGACACATTTTATGTTTAGTCCATTGCAAAATACTGCTTATCCTCCGATGATTTTCCCACATGTAACAGCATCTCAACTAAATGATAATGCCACTATCACATCGAATTCCTTATCGTCAGCAATATCTCAATTGACCACTTCTCAACTATCGTATTCATCACCGCATACTGGAATGTCGCCACCTTTCTATTGGAACCCGAATAATTTCAGTGCACCATTGTATGATGATCAATCAAATCCCGGTGTTGTATCATTTATGAATTCAAATCAGTTGCCAAATCTTTATACACAATCATCGTCTGAACAGCTTCAACAACAGGCATTACAGTTAACTCAAACAAATCGTAAATTGAATGAATCTTCTGGACTAAGTCCTTATCTAGATGTATGTCTCCATTATTTTTATCTTATAGTTGATTCTCTTATTATTTACTTTAAAAAACACTTACCTAAATAATGTTAGGGATTCGTAGAAATTCTTGAATCGTATAGTTCACATTACGAACTCAGTTTGTTTTAACAACCATTCGAAACCAGGATACACTAGACAACTGTTTTATCCTAGTATGAAACTTCCTAAGAATTAATTGAATTTTGGACATTCACGTCTGTGAACCACTGGATGCGGATTCAGTGGTATGAAGGCTAGGTGCTGTCGGTGAAACCCATTTGATTCACATTTCGATCACGATTGCGCACTTCTGAGCAGTCTAATACTAGGATGAAACTGCTGTCCATTACTTCCTGATTTTTTAATGTTCTTTTAATTGAGGTCAGTTTGTGATGTAATCTATAAAACTACCTAATCATCTGAACAATATCTCCACTTGTTGTTTAAGTTGTCTATTCACATACAACTTGAAATCTCCTGGGGTTTGTGTACTTTTTAAATAACTTGCTCTATGGTTCCCTTGTTAAAATTATTCTAGTTTTTAACGTTTTATTATGTACCTAGTTGTAGATCATTATTCTTACATAAAGTTTAATGATATTACTCGGGTGTCTATTGATTTATTAATCCTTTAATATGCTAAATTTCTATCTTAGTTTCAAGAGGGGCTGTCTTTATGTATATATATATACGGCGATTTTTCTTTAAAGAAAAAAGTCCATTTTTCCCGACTTCGGGTCGATATTTTGGGAAATAATGCATTTTCTAATAGTCAACTATTCAATCACGAGAATAATGAACAACTGTTTTTATTCATACTATTATAGTATGCAATCAAATTGTTTTTATACAATTATTTACCCCCCCCCTTCGACACACACACACAGAGATGTTACATTGCTTGAATCTACCTACTGTACACTGAATAAGTGAATAAATAAATAAATTGTCTTAAGTTAAATACATTACCAATTTTGTTGTATGGTTGTACACAGAATATCGTTGTACCTGCTGATATTTCAGTAATTAAAATTTTTCACCATTTAATAATGAATATCAAAAATCTGAACACTTTATTAACCGAATACTACTATTATAAGTAGTGTTTTGTTGTTGATTTCATTCGATGAAAACTTGAACTCAATTGTGAAATAACAATTTCATAGTTTTTAATCAATCAATTAGTTAGGTAGTTATGCTTATTTATCTGTTTCAATTGTAACCGAAAAAGATGGGTTTCAATAAAATCACTGACACACACGGACTTGTTCTAACTTCCTTTTTTTCTTTTGTTGTTCAATTTGTTTTCAGTTAACGGCAGAAATCAACGCCAAAGAATATATGCGTGGTTTATTAGCACGTAAATGGGTCATGGAGTCGTATAAAAAGAAAAGTATGATAGTTTCACTTTTTCCCTCTCTCTCTCTCTCTCATTGTCCCTTAATATCATTATTATTATGTGAATAAGTGTTTTTTCGTGTTTCGGTATCCTGTCATCAATACGCTTTTCGGGGCAAGCGTGATTGTGAAGTATATTTTATAGTTTTTTTCTCGAATAGTCAATATTCGAATTGTAGACAGATATGATCCAACACAGAAGACAATGTATTTAATGTTATTAGCTCAAAAACTCACAAGGTTTTAAGTGTCTATTGTCAAAGGTATTTACTTAATGGCGACTAGTTTATACGCGATATTACTCAATGAAGTATGTGTTATGAAGATTATCTTAATGAATTGAAGATTACTGAAAATATTATGCATTTTTATCCGTAATACACTACTTCTACAGTGACCTCTATTTCTATCCCTCAACGTTCTTACTTAATTACTACTTCCATACACCTGTTACCCCTCGTGGAGGAGAATATGCCGTCCACTAGGATTCTCCTTCTAACTCTGTCCTGGATAATTTTTTTCCAATTGCTATTCATTCTTTTGATGTCTGGCCCCAATTCCCGATGCATTATATTCTTTGGTCTTCCTTTTTTCATTTTACCTTCATGATTCCTGGTTAGGGCATGCCTCGTGATACAGTTTCATTGTCGTTACTTCATGGTAAATAATCTAGAAAAAGCGTAACTATTGCTACCACTACCTCTACCGAAAACAAATCATTTCATTTGTTCTCAATTGAATTTAAATCAGATGATGATGATACTTCTGTGGATTATTAGCACACCAGTAACATGTTAGGTAGTAGTATACCATAGATATTTCAGTTAACTAGGTCATATTGTCTATACCTTTTAGATAGATATACGAAGAAGAATTGTTTTACACGATTAATATTATAAAATCATACGAAGAAGTATTTGTTAAGAATATGAATGGGTTTTAAACTTGAAGAATGATACTCATCTATGAGTTATAGATCTGTGTACTTGGTTTCGAGCTACATTGTAAGTATAAGGGTCAGTGATACTACCCTATCTCCCATATCAAAGTATACAGAACTGAATCCGAGTTCGCAGCTTATTAACTGAGAACTAAATACTGCAGCCACTAAACCATTGCTCCGAAATTAAACGACGAGCAGTTACAACAGGAAAATTTCGGCTTTATATGATTAATCTGAATATTCAATACGTGTCTTACAGTAGTAAATTCTGATAAACTAAACGATTCACATGTACGAAAGAGTTAATGCTAAGAAAACATCTTGATACCAAGAATACAATAAAAATTTTCATGAATATGTTTAGAAGTTGTGAACATTGTTGATTGAATACAGTTTTCAAACTTTTTCTCTGAATGTTTTTATTCTTCACTATTAACAACCGTTTTTTTCTGAATAATTCCAATGAAAGATATGCTATAGATTATTTGAAATACAAACGATTACTGAAAATATTCTATATTTCCTCAATATAATGCTGTTATATTGACTGCTATCTCTAATGGGAAACATATTGGGTTCATTATAGAAATCCATTTCTAGTAGGAAAACCATAAACAGAAGTCTTTTTCATCAGACCTCCATTGACATTAAGGTAGATAATATCAGTTCTAATTCACTGAATTGTCGGCACACTAGTTGCAAGTAAAACTGAATCAACACATTAAGGGTATAATTATCATGAAAGGTTTATAAAGATTGTTGAATTCAATATTTCACATCACGGATGGCTTAGTTAAACGAGCTTTGAAAATCATGAAATATTAGGCAGTTGTTTAGTCCTAGTATACAACTCCTAAGTATTTCAGATTCAATCAGAGTTCCAACACTCAGAGAGTACTTACTTTTCTAGACTACTGAGCTGGTATCCAACAATTTATCTATCTGACTTCTATCAACTAATCATATTGTCCAACCACCTTTCAATCCATTCAATAAGTAACTGCATCAGATTAAACGTTGTTAAGCTCTACTAATTGTGATTACCCACCAGAACTGTGAAAACTTACTGTCTTTGCGATAGCTGCTGATAAACTGAATTTTATGTTCATGCACTTGAGAATTTGATAAAATCGCTCATGAATTCAACTATTGAAATCACTACAATATCCGCAAACCCTCATTACGATCATTTGTTCATTTGAACACATAAATATTGGTACAAGGGGGCACCAGATACAAATGCGCTACACAAATCTCATTTGATTTGTGTGAGGGCTATGATACTGCCCGGGTGTCCACACCGAAGCAGGTGGTTTCCATAAGGCAGTGGAGCATCGTAAGGAGATGTGGTCCCATGGTAACCGGTGACCAACGATTAGTTCATACGCCATTTGTTCCCTCCGGATACTGGAGCCCATGTTTGGAATCAGTGTTTTCCAACTCCCCTAGATGGACACAGAGAGTCCACCAAGCCGGTTAAAGCTCCGGACATTCGCTTTTCGTCCTTTGAATTTCGTAAACAACAGTGATGCCACGAGAAGGCAGTGAGTGGGACTTTCCTGGCAGAGGCTATATACGCATGGCCATATGAAAGCATTTCGAGAGGGAGAGCGGACTCTCCCCACTCTCGGGCATTTGGGGACTATAATGATCATAATCATCATGTGCTCACTAGTGACTGGCCTCAAGATGAGCTTCTTGGAGTTCATGTGAGAAGCCATGACCAGTGGAGTCCAATCCATGTCGACTAAAGACAGGTATCTATCTCAAAAAATGGATGAATGGTTGCGCAAGATCATGGATCAATAGAAGTTAGACATTAACACCGTTGGACGCCGGCTCAGTGGTTTAGAGTTTAGGTGTTCACGCACGAGACGTAAAGTCCTTAGTTTGAGTTGCACATGCGGGATCATGGATGCCCACTGTTGAGAAGTTCCATACTAGGACGAAACGGTTTTCCAATGCTGGTCGACTACCACATTCTCCACAAACCCTATTCCGCTCAAAATCATATAAAACAACTATGCAACTGAAGATCTTAACTGTCATAAAGTTCTAAGAATATTTTAGAACAGAGAGAAGTATAGTAGCACCAATGAAGGAAGGAGTATTTTGAAGTGGATTAATATTCGCCTAGTTTTTTTGGAAAAAAAAACAATAATAACATTTTCATAGTTACTGTTTGTGTATAATGCCTATTTACTAATATATATACGCTTTCCACCCCCACCCCACTAACTAATCTCCTTTATATCTCTAACCATCATCTTATTCAAGCTCCTGTTGGACGTCGTAGTTGGAAATTGTATTATGCAAGACTACGTGATCTCGTCTTGTATTTATATAAAAATGTAAATATTGCAAATAATGCAACACATGCTGAAGAATTACACAATCTTTACTATCAGCAGCAACAACAACAACAAAATTATCTACAACAACTTTTTATTCAACAACAACAACAACAAAGGCAACAACAACATTTTCTGTTACTTCAACAACAACAACAACAGCAGTACCAACATCTTCAACAGCAGCATCAACAGTATCTTCTACGTAAACACCAATCTCCTGATGATGAAGAAGAAGTGAATGAGGTAGAAGAGGAGGAGGGAGAGAGTCATGGGGACGATGATGGCGTTGGTGTTAATGCTAATTGCCCTTCTAACGGTAAGAATAATTCTACTGTTGAACTCTCATCATCGTCATCATGTATGAAGGAGCATTCATGTGTAGTAACTGATACTACTGAAAATCAATCTGAGTAAGCATTTAACCATATGTATGTATGTATGTTTTTATATACGTATATATATGTGCATGTACGTATATGTGTATATATGTAGATGATCACCTTTTGTGTTATTGATGAAATATTTCAAGTTATATGTTGACTTTTCTCACTAATCTTGCTTATGTCATTAAAGATTAATGTGTTTGTGAAAATATTAAACATTGAAACAGTCACAGTCAATGTTAAATATTAGTCAACCAACATGAACTGTTTGTTTAGTTCATGATTTGACCACTGAATGTATTGGTACTATATTGTTTCATTGTTTTCTAGTCGACTGTTGAATTAATGCATTTTGAGATGGTGAAAACTTGTAGCTCAGGTAGACGTCAACAATAACTAATCAACGTGGAGGTCTACAGGACAAGCTGTGAGTCATATGTGGAGAGATTCGAACACGTCACTTCTACTTAAAGTCTGTGTTGATGATGTTGTTCAGAAGAACAATAAAAGCTCCACGACCAAATCATTCAGCTCAGAGAACAAAACTCTACGTAAACTAATGCATTATTCACCTTGTTGTGTATTCAATAGATGTAATTTGTTATTGTAATTACATTTGTATTTAACTTCAAAATATGTGTATGAAACACATCATACTCAAATACATGAAAGCTAAATTTTTTTTAGTTCAGAACTAAAGTAAGATGTGATAGGTCGATCTCTTCTGATTTTCAGTGTTTTAGTATTTTAAACAGAATACATTAATAAACCATTGAAAAGATTTACATGAACAATAAATGTTGAATTATGGATACATGTTTCATTGTGTTTGAGGCTGGTTACTTAGTGCTAATGTTCACAGCGAAACTCCGACCAAATGCTTATCACTTCAAATATATAATATTTACAAAACAACTATTTAGTGCATTCTGGTTTATAACAGTTACTTAAGAAACTTTTATAAGTTACCGAGTTTTAATCTCAGTTTGAATTTTATCAATATTTTCATATAAACACATCTAGTTGATAATTTCCAAATAGAATGAAATACACACATACGTCCTGGATTCTGCTGCTAACCACAATCCAGCATTCTTTTTTTCAACTTTTGACTAAATAGTAAAATCATAACAATCCACTTAAGATACGCATAACACAATATACAATGATTAATTACGGTTCTTTAAATTGATAACAGGAAAATACAGATGGTTGGAGACTCTTGGTGACATGGCTCAGAATCGATCACAATGGCGTCGGTGTATACACTCTCTGTCTTCCTTAAATTAAGAGATTAAAATCGCTTGATATCTGTCTAGGAACTAATTCTTTCTTCCTTTACTATCTCCTTATACACAATCTTTCTTCTATATATTACCACCACTGAATTAACTTCTCCTATGAATCCGGTGTTCATCTTGTTGTGCTAATGCGGTATGGCAACTTGGACCGATGCATATACGTGCCTGGTCCCACGTCGCAGCTGACTGACTGACAGATAAAACGTAGTATTTGAACAACAAATATTGAACTATTAACTTATTATTATTATTAATTATTCTACAGAATTGGAAATATGAACGACAATGGACTCACTGTTTTGTCTGTCGGTAATGATGATGATGATAATCTTGATGATTCACCTACATCAAAACAATTAACCACTTCCATAGAAAGTCAACAATCGTTTAACACTTCCGAATATACTGTTGAAACTGTGGAGAATTCATCAAAAGAACATATGAATATAAATGATGATTTAGCTACAACAAATGCATCACAAACTTCATTAACAACAGTTTCTCAAAGCTCAGTTGTAACATCAAACAATTCTACTAACACTATGACATCATCTTTTTCTACATTTAATCCAATATTGTCTACTCCTTACATTACAACACAACATCAACAACTGTCATCAATTCAACCAATTCCAATGACTACTACAACTACTACACCACCGTCATTTGTTCCACCGCCAATTCCACCACCTGAAACAATTATTCGTCTAGCCCATGCTTATGCATGTAGAGCTACAGATTATGTGAAAAAATCTAATGTATTCCGTTTACGTACAAAAGAAGGCGGTGAATTTTTGTTTGAAGTCAAGTAAGCTTCTTAGTTCTTTGATTTCTTTTTTCATTATTTATACTAGATAATAATTTTCTACTAGGTCGGTTTTTTTCCACTTGTTCATAATAAATTACTTTAGTGCAATAGTAAAAACAAGATTTTAGTGAAATCACGAACTTTTTCTTTCCGTTAAAACAACAGTTCTTACCCCTCTTTCATTTAGTAGTAGAATTAATTGTATTTCTTCATATTCACTGGCTAACACTTTTGGCCGAAAATTCTATATGACAATTATTCGTATGTGTTTTCTGTTATTTGAATATAGAAGAAATTATAACTTACGTCTGTTACACCTCGTGAAGTATAGGCCACCGACCAGGATTCTTTAACCAACTCTGTCATGGGCTTTCTTTACTAATTGTTGCAAAGTGCTGTTCATTCTTTTGATGTTGGCCTCCAGTTCTCAGTTAAATGTGTCCTATGATCTGCTTACTAAGTATTTTCTATTAAGATGTGTTTGGGAATGACTCAGTGGTCAACCGGATATTCATATCACCAGCCTTCATACACTTAAAATGTGACTGGAAACCAATTACTAATCAATGAGTTAATAAATAGAATGTTATGATACTTTATATTATTCATAAAATCAATTATCTTAATTGCTATTTTTTATAAATTCATTTCTAGTGATGCAAAAGAAGTAGATATTTGGATTGATCGAATTAATTTTGTTGCAGCTCTTCTATCTGCACCATCTTTAGCGTCTGCTGTTAGTTCAGAGCGTAATTTTCACCGACCTCATTTACCTGCAACATATACTAAATTAAACATGGTAAGTAGTATATATATAATAAAATTAATTGTGTAAATAATCCGTATTTGGTTTAAATGACTTCTGACAGGCATTGTTTTCTTAGCAAGATGCTTTTTTACAGGATTGGGTCGCGAACCTCATTTCCAACTCTCTACCTTTACCCCTCGAGTTGGGGGCTGGCAGTAACCTTAAGATAGGTTCAGGCAGACTTCATTGTTTCAATTCTTATTAATTTATATTGGTTGAAATAAAGTATTTATTTCGTTTTAATATTAGTGATTAAAAGAGTATCTCACTTTCACTTAGTACCTCTATTGCCGGATCGCCGATTCTAAAGACATGCTCCACATACTGATCCGATTATTGAGATGACGTCACATAAAGTGTAACTGTTAGTGCCCCCCTTCCTTCAACACTTCATGAAATCCATACTTGGTTCCAGCGACTGTGATATCTGTCCTGTATAACGTACATTTCTATGCTTCTATTTAATCCATTCGCTTTCGTCGATATTTTACTAGTCTTCAAATTTATATGATATTACTAGGTGTTTACACACATACGTGTAATTTCATTTACTGAGGTCTATCAAAACTAATTGTGAATGGAAATATTATATTTATGTGTACACCGTTTGTAGGCAGAATAACAAATCCAATAAATCATGAACATTACATTGTGTTTATCGATATTTTGTCCTAATGTGAGGGATACTTAATAGATAAGTACAATGATAAGGAACCCCAAACACACAAAGGAGTACATCTTTCCAACATATGGAAGTTGGGGTAATCAAAATACCTGACTCGGTGTCCACTTGTCCTCACTGTTCTAGCAATCCTCGTTTGGAGATGTCAATATGTTCTCCTTGTTTTTTTTATTAAGAATGATAGGCTTGGGAACATAAGTTCATTACTCAATTCATACTATAGCGGTACTTGAATGAGGGATTGTGAGCTATTATTGGTCAAAAGTCTCTCCATTAGTAGTGCACATAGCTTACAGCTGCAGACGTTAGGTGGCAGCCTAAAATCTACCACGAAGTTTACTCAAATGCATGCACATTGTTATCTGCCCAAACACCGACGCCTGGTTGAAATCCGCGTGATAATCGAATTTAGTGGTCCATTCTTTTTTGTCCTATTCTTCATTCTCTCTTTCGATTATAATTTCATACACTCTAACACTTTGTTTCATTCCTCCTCTATCGTTGGTCTTTTTCATAATTATTTAAACTGTATTCCCAAGTGATCTTGATAATTTCACCTCGTTATGCTATTATGTTGTGTTAATTTGGCCTAATGTTCACATTTATGGCCATGTCCTATACATTGACCATGACTTAGGACTACTACTGTCTGGCTTAGTTTTCCGATAGCTATAAAACTTCGATTGTTTGATTTATTTTTCATTATCTTATGTAATTAGTTCTACTAAACTAAAGAAAATTATTCTATTTTATTTTAATTTATAATGTTGCGGTTTATTGTGTTCTGTCTTTTCTTTCTTTTTTTTACTCTTTAAAAAAGCGTGAACAACTTGAGGAACATCAAAAACGTTTGTTAGAATTGGATCAAGAATTGACTGATTTACGTTCTCGTCTACTTGCCACCTCTGTTAGTAGTAGTGGTGGTAGTAGTAGTAGTAAAAATCGTAAGATTTCTTCAAATGCACAATCATCATCTCTTGATGAAACTGTGAAATCACCATTATTTAATGAAGATAATATATCAACTTCGGAAACTGTTATTACCACCACTCCTACTTCTACTACTAATGTTAATAATGTAAACACTGACGTGTTATCTACAGTTGCTGACAATTTGACCAATATTACTACAACAATAACGACTACTACTGCTACTCCGTCTTCCTCAGTAACATCTCAATCACAGTTGAACTCATTAAAATCCACTGAGACAATCAACACTAGTGTTTCATCGGCATCTATTCCCTTCTCATCCAGTTCATTCATGTCCGTCTTTTCAACAGGTAGTCTAGGCAGACGTAGAAAAGGTAGTAGTGGTTCGTTAAATTCCAACAGTAACACAACACATGGATCTGATGGCAGTAGTGGTGGTCTTATAATCAGTGCTAAACAACGTGCGGAATATGAAGAACGTATACAATTCATGGAATCTGAAGTAAGTGTGTGTGTGCTTGCTGTATGTGAAGGTTGTTTCTACAAAATTTTAACATTATTTCTTCTTGGAACGATTTCCATAGTTTATTGTTATTACCATTGTTATCATTAACATCGAAGTATACAACCGTCATCCGCAACTGTGTTGACTCACCACAACGCAAAAATCGAGTCAGAAACGATCGACACTGAAATGTTTACACTTCAGATTTTTCGGATTTTCGTCACCGGCCATAACGCCTTGAAAGTACTGGGCCAACACACCAAAAACTGCTTTCTAAATAACCATCTGTTGACAGACCTCAAGTAATTGTCCCTTAGGTAATGCGGTCACACTCCTGAGTCATCAATACCATCTCCAACCCAGTCTCCTTTCCTAGGCACACTAAAGTTAATTATACGCAGCCTGGAAGTGACACAGCTACCTCATAACGCCGATCAAGAATCTTCATTCATAAAATTACACTCTGAAACACAGTTATCCACATCATAAATAACATGTCGGTGAAATTATTACAGTGGAATTATCTTATTGGTATTTCTTACAACATAAAAATAGGATAGTAATCAATATATTTGTGTTATGTGTCAATTAGTAGAAAAATTGTACTTCTGACGTTTCGTAACTTAATGTAAACCACTTCTTCAGAGTAAAGTGGTTTACATTAAGTTACGAAACTTCAGAAGTACAATTTTTTCTACTCATTAGCATATAACAAGTATATATATATATATATATCTGCTGAGGAGTCCCACAATAGGACGAAACGGCCGTCCAGTGCTTCCACGTTTTCCATGGTGGTTTAAATTCCACTGAATCATGATCTTAACTATTGAAAAATATATTTGTTATCAACGTTCTACCTAATGTTAGAATTAATTTTAAAAGTTCACTATTTTATTCTCTGCTAACCAAATGTTCCTCATAAACTCGAACAAAACTTCAAAACAGTTGAAATTAAACTGTTACCGTAATAAATACCATTGACCAATTAAAGTATATTCTGGACATTGGCTCCAATACGCTCTAATAATAATAACAACAACAACAATAAATTAATTCAGTACTACATATTCAGTTTAATCTGTCTCGCTGTAATATTCTAAGTACATATATTTCTTTGCTCAACACTCCAATCACTGGACGGTTTTTATTCGTAGAATAAATACTGTTGACGAATGATAATCAGTCCTTTGAAGTATACATACTAAAGGGATAATTATTTATTAAATAAAACGTGTTCTAGTGTAACTCTATCATAATTATTTGGATAATTTTACTTACCGAACTTATATGAATCATCGAATGATTTAATCAGATCACTGATAATAACTGAAAGAATAACTTGTGCATTTGGACTGATTCTTGATGGGATTACCAACAGTGTTTATACACCCCCACTGTGAGCGATGTTACAAACTTTCGAGGAAACTAACTGACGAGTAGTTTAGGTTTTAAATGGATCCTATTGTTGTTAACCCATTATGCGGTTACGGTAGTTTCTGTATTCAACATTCAAAGTAAATGTATATACACTATCTTGTTATGCATACATACATACACCCAATGCACATTTGTCTCTTGACGCTTTAATAGTATCCACACATGTATTTTGCGTACTACACATAATAGCAGACAAATATGTGTGCTTGATATTCAGTTACCTTTGTTAGTATTCAAATTAATCATCACACTTATACACATTAGCTATAGGAAATTAATATACATTATATTGTAATGTATGTATGCATGTTCTTTCCATCTAATGTTAGTACTTTTGGATGCTTTGACTCCATGTTTGTATATGAATGATTCTCTCATTCATACATATACACAATTACACATTCACCAGTAGGGAAAGTTTCCTTTGGTATGAAATCTTGATGTGTTATTTTTCACCCCCTTTGATATTGAGTCACACATGTATACACATAATACTACCTCTTATTCAGAGAATTTCAATACAAAAACAGAGTGAAACTGTAATGCATAAATCAATATTATCAGGGAAAAATAAAGTAAACTACTTCCAGCGGAAAATCAATTTGTCATGGAATTTTTTTCTCTTTCCCAATTTTCGACTGTACAACTGTATGTAGGTATATGTATGTTTCCTTCATGGAATTTGGGGAGGACTTCAAAGTGAATTTTCATTAAAATTTGCTGAAAAATGCATTATGTAAGGATTTTACCCATAGCAATATTAATTGGTTATATGTGTTAGCTTTAGAGATTGATTTAGTCAACTACTCTATGGTGTTGTAATTAACAAACCCATTGATCTTTTGAAGGTATTCTTAATAAGATTTAGGCCTGAGGTCGAGTGAATGAGTGATACTACCTGGTTGCCCGGATCCGAAGTAGGTGGAGTGGGGTTCGAACCTATCAGTTAATTGATGTGAATTGAACAACGTACTACTACTAATGCACTACTCCACATTTGTATACTATCCCACTCTCTGATAATCTTCAAGAGGTAACATTACGAGAAAGATGAGGGATAGTAGTCGCTTTAATACAACAAATGTATTTGGTTACGAAACAGTACAATTCGACTTTTAATTCCTATTCAATGTATACATCAAAATATCTTTTTCTGTTGTATCCTTTCTGTATCCCTTCCATATAACAAAATCAATTGTTGCAAATGCTATGCTTAAATTTACTTAAGTTTTTTTTCCTAAAATCTTTTCCGATCACCAAGTTGACACTACTCTCTACATAAACGGTAAATAAAAGCTCTTTTTAATTTCAGTGAAGAAAATACATCTGATCCTGTTCTTGTATATCTTTATTTATCTACACTACTGAGTTGTTTAAGGGGTTGGTTTGTGTTCTTATTTGTTCTCTTTTCTATCATTGATACTTTACTCTTCTTAGCAATTGTTTTTGCTAACAACAAAGAAAAACAAACTTGTTTGATCAAACTTGCGAATAAATATTTTATCACTTGCTTGTGTTCTGTTTATTCTATACACTTTTTTAGTCATAGATACTTCTTTAATTTATACTTATCAGATCTGCCTTCGTTACTTTCTTACTTACCTAACTAATCATTTATCTCTCTGCTTATTTTTATACATGACACAATAAAACACCATGGTAGAGTTGAATCGTAGTTAGCAATGAAATCTAGGATCCGCGTTTCGTTCTATTCATGATTCATTAGTTAGATGTACCTGCACTTGTGTTAATGTTTATCCCGTGACTCAGACTAAATAGCTTTCATTTTAAACCCCACTTGGCTTGTGTTAAAGTAGACGGATTGATTACAGTCCCTTACATCAGTAACTGAGTAACTAAAACAACCCTTACAGATGAATTAGTGTGTGTTAGTCTAAACAATTGTTTGATTGGATAAGATCCTGATATTTTACTACTATCTAACATATAAATTAAACTCAATCGATGTTACCGATTCATCAAGTACTGGCTAATGTTCTCGGTTTTGCGACACACTTCATGTGTGTGTGTGTGTTCGGGGGCCTAATAATAATATCTGGCAAACTAAAATGAAATAGATAAAGCTAGGTTTCAACCTTTTATCCATTGATTGAAAACTAAGTGCCTTAATCGCTGAACCACTTGAAGATTTTGAAAATAGTATACGACTTGGTGTTATTTGGTCGGAAGTAACCTGCAGGAAACTCTGAAGCTAGGCTTGTGCTAGCTCGCACTCATCAGCAAGCTGTATCTGTATCACCAAAGAAATTAGTGCTCCCTATTATGGATTCAAGCTCTGATTACCCTATTTCACAGTCTACAAAGTTACCTTTGTGTTGTTTAGTTTTAATTGACCTTCAGCGGAACTAAAATCATTAGTTAATCACTGGCCAGGTAGTAGGATAATGTCATATTTTATTATTTTTTTTAAAATGTTGATCGAATTGTGTCGATTTATCTGATACAAATAAAGTAACTTTTATAGTTACCCCATTTCTTTTGCTTTTCTTCACGATTGAATGAGTGTTAAAAATGAATTCGTTACTGTGAGCTATTCTAAATGATATTCTTTACCTGAATTGTGACAATCACCTCTAGTGTTTATTTACTGTCTCAACATCTTTCGAGTTTCGTTTGCTGTTGATTATTTTGCTTCTTGTTTCTTCTTCTTTCACGCGCTAAATGTTATTTATTTTGTTCTTCTGTTTTGGAAATATTTTAGATTCAGCGGTATAAAACTTACGCTCGTCTCTTAGAAACAGAGTTATTCCGCCTACAACAGTCTTCATCAGTCGCTGCTTTAGCTGCAAGTAATCCTTTTGTTCCGTATGTCGGTGGGGGTTATCCTAATCCTATGTGTACTAATCCCACAGTTGGTGGACCAATTCAATACAATGCTATTAATAATGCATTACGAACAAGTATGAACTTTCCTATTATTGGTACATCGCCCGCTCCACCACCTCCACCAATGTATTTTGTTCCTACTGGATATCGTGATCGAAATACTAGTGCCTCAACGGTTGTTACTAGTCGTGGTACATCAGTTATGACACATTTAGCTGTATTGGGTCCTCAAAATTCATTAAATGAAGAAGTTGTACAAACGACAACAGGTTGTATCACGTCCGTTTCGACTACTACTATTACTACGTCTACTAACACTACTGTAACACCATCGTCTAATAATAGTAATTCATCGAATGAATTGAATTCTATCGATAATAATATTATTAGTCCCGGTGTCAACATCACTACTTCATTAGCTTACCCAGTGCAATCTCAATTATTTCCAATAAATAGTACTAGATATAGAACATTTGTATCACCGTATTTCACATCACAAATACCATCAATCAATCCATATTCACCGTCTGTCAGTGGACGATTTTATCAACAACAACAACACCAGTCTAGACGATTACGTTATTCTTCACCATTGAATAATCTATATCATCATCAACAACCACAGAATGTTATTGTCAATGGAACTACTAGTACTAATAATAATAGTAGTAGTAATAATGGTCGTTTTAATGGTTTAGTTAATGGATTTCAGTTAACTGAAGAAGATTCATTCAACGATAAACATCTCATTACTACTAATACTTCCTCGTCAAATAATAATTTGATCATGAATACAATCACAGATGATATGTCGTCCACGTGTAAAATTGCAAATGACTGTAGTAATAATTGTAATAATAATAATAATAAACTTATACAAAATTCCCAATCAGTTTGTTCAACAAATGGTCTATTTTACGAGATTGTATAATCGGTGTTATTGTCATTAACATTATTGTCATTATGTTGTTTCGTTCTCTTCATTATCGTAATGCTCTCTGTCTAAAATCTCTATCTCTTATCTTCAATTATTGTTAAGTTCTGTTAAAATGTTTTATTCTGGTTCCAAGTTTTCTCTTGTTATTATTGTTTTCTGCGTATATAGCGCAAATGCGAAACCTAGCAGTCAGTCACTATTACCATTATTATGTAATGTAATATTTTGTTTCATTAGTGATAATGTCAGCTTTGGATGTTCATCGTATACAACAATTATGTGGAGTTAGTGTGGAACTCAAACGGTTGTGTTTATTTTGTCTCGTTACGTTCATTACTTAATGTATGTGTGTGTGTGTGTGATACATATTGCCATATGCATTATCAAACCTTTCAATGTGTTTATTTATTCAGTGTATTCCCAACCTCTCTTCCTCTTAATCTTATTGATTTATTATATCTCTCTTAGTATGTGAGATTGCGTGTGTAACCATGTGCCACATTCATCATTTTCTAAAACCTCTGTTTATTATCTATTAATCTTGTATTATCTCTTACATCATCGTATTCACATCTTATCTTTTTTCTTCACTCAGGTGTATGTCACTGTATAGTCAACTCTTTTTTTGAAATAGTCATCACCTTCTTCTTACACCAAACAAGATGTATACACAAGATGAGCATTTTTTTCTCTTCACAGGAAGTTGAACTAGAAATCTATATTTAACAGGAATTTATTGTAGTTAGTTGAAACACTGTAAAATTGAATCATCTTCCCTCTTTTTTTTTCTCATCTTTCTATTGTCGTACATATATTATGTATGTACATGTTTATTCGTTTGTTTACAAAATCATCATCTAGTCATGTTAATTCCTTGAATTTCTTATAGGCTTATAATTTCAATATTCAATTGATCTCTTTTAGCAACACTATCACAACTGGTTCTTCAATCTCCATGTTTCTTTTTTTTTGTTCAAGTTTTTGTTTGTAATTCAATTGAATTACATCTTTTTTTGCCACTTATTATGATGAAGAACATTGTTCAATGTCAATAACATTATCATCATTATTATCACCTTCTTGTTCATACTATCCTCCCTTCCTGTATACCAGTACTACTAATGATTCCATAAGTCATTGAATTTCTTTTTCTATAATTATTGAGTTATTCAAAGAAAGAAATTTATTTTTGCTTGTTATTCATATACTACTATTATTATTAATACTACTACTACTATTACTTTAAACCTCCATATTTATTTCATTAATGAATGAATATGTTACTGGAATGCTACTCTCGGTAATACTAATAATGACATTATTATTATTATTAATTTATTGTAAAGTTGTAAATGTTTCTTTTTATGTTCTCTATTCTCCTACTTTTTTGTTTGTTCAATGTTAAAATTAAAAGATGAAAAAAATATCCAAATTTTCTAATTACGTATAACTTGTGTATAACTTTAATTCCGAATTCACTAATCTCTCTTTATCTCTCTCGCTATGTATTGCTATTATTATCATTATTACGAACAACACATACACACACATATTAACAAACAAACAAATCAATAATTAGTTACTAGCGTGTAAAAGAACACTTTATTCATTTGATTAATAACAAGTAAAGAGTATGTCTATTGCCTAAATCTATTGATTATTGTTCTTTTTTTTGTAGTTATTATTATTATTACCAGTGAAATAGACAAATTAGAGACAATGAATAAGCTGTTAGTACTGTTGTTGTTGTTGTTTAAATAAAAGAAATTTACACTGTTGTTTGAAAAATAACCTCATCACATTGACCAATTGTTTGTTTGTTTATTTATTTCTCTAGTCTAATATTCTATAAAACCAATATAATTTATACTATTTACTACCTTGATTTATTATGATTACTAATACTCTTGTTTTAATGAATCATAAAATCCTTCTTTTTTTGTCAATTTTTATAATTTATCAAAAATGATAACATATTACTATTAATTCTACTTTATAGGCATCGAATAATAAGAATCTGGTGATTGTTTTGTTTTGTTTTTGTTTGTTTTCATTCAATGAATAATGTATCCATAGGAATTTCACTTTTAAACTATTAATATTATTATCTGGTTTTGTTTTGTTTTCGAATTGTCCATGTTCATGTTTTGGTCACACACACACTACTCCTTGCTACCACAACAACTACTACTACTACTCTCTCTCTCTCTATTCTATACTATTTCTACAATATTGATTTGTCATTTTATTTTATTTTCTACATTGAAGAATAGCGCACACATAAATTCATTTAAAATTTAATAGTCTTTCTTTAAAATTAAAGACTAAATAAACTATATTCAATAGAAATGTGAAACCAAGATAAGAAATAAAATTTTCTTACCTCATTCAATAATAATGATAATGATAATAATAATAATAATGACAATACTTTTGGCATGAACAATATTTATTTTAATTTTAATTAAAAGTGCCTGACAATCATCTAGGTGTTCAATATCCTTATTTGTTTGTTTGTTTGTTTGTTTGTTTTCTAATGGAGAATTTAGTGTTTATTTACAATTTATTGATATTTTCAATTGTTAATCGGGTTCATAGGTTTTTTCCCCCCTTTTTTTTCTCTCCCTCCCTCTCTCTCTCTCTCTCTCTCTCTCTCTCTCTCTCTGGAAATTAATTACAACATTATGCCAGTAAATAAAAAGAATATTTGTATACAATAAAATGGTATTTCTTACAATCTCTATTTCTCTTGTTTGTTTTGTTTTGTTTTTTATTATCAAAATGAAATTGACATGAATTTTATTAATAATAATCTATAAATATATTCAACTGTGTAAGTGTACGAGTTTTGTAATTATTATTATTGATTTCTTTATTATTTATACTCTCCTTTATATGCTTATATATTGGTCTTTTTATATATATCTTTTTTCTTTGGTAAGATATCCTGGTGACGTTTTCATTGATTTTCTTTCTTTACATCTTTTCTCTCTCTCTCTTTCTTCTAGTTCTCTTTTACATTTTTTTTTAAAATTTCAATCCTATTACACGTTTACAGCACTTAATGTTGCCGTTATATTTAAAATTTGGTTTTTTTTTTTCTAACTGTATATTGCGTAATGCAAATTTATGTGAATATATATTTAAATAAACTTATATATCTATCTATATAATTCTTTTCTTTTGTTTTGTGAATTTGATTTTTATATTGTAATGTATTAGGGCAATCAAATTGCTCTTTGTATTGAGTTAAGTGTAACTTTACCTAGAAATATGTGAACATTTTTAAACTGATTGTCTGACGGATACTTGTATCATTGACTTATTTTATTTTTATGTGAATTGACAGAAATCGCTGAAAAATTAAAATCTTGTGGTCAACTGATTGCGTTGAAGGCATTCAATGAGTACCTAAAGTATGACGAAAAGTTCACAGAAACGAAAACATCATTGGAATTGACAGAAAACAAATCAAAAGGGGTAGATTTTAGAAATTTCACTGGTTGAAATCATGAATCCATTGAAGCTAGACCACCATGGAAAACCTGAAAGCACTGGACGACCGTTTCGTCCTATTATCGGACTCCTCAGCAGTGCGCCCTCGCGATCCTTCCCCCGCGAAATTCAAACATAAGACCTATCAGTCGCGCGCAAGCGTTTAACCATTAGACCACTGAGCCATCATCCAACGGTGTTAATGTCTAACTTCAACCAATTTGCGAAGTTGCGCCACCGTACACCATTGTCTTCAGTGAGTTGATATCTCACTACAGGACGAAACAGTCGTCCAGTGCTTGCAGGTTTTCCATTGTGGTCTAGTTTCAATTGACTCATGATTTCAACCAGAAAACAAATCGTCAGTTCGTTATATGGTTAAGTAGTTCAAACTGTATTTTAGTTTCGAAAGTAACAATTTTTTACTACCTAAATTGAGTTTATATTTTGATCTGATGTTGGAATTCACTTCAAATGTGAAATGGGTAGATTAAGTGATTAGTTCTGATCTATTATTATTCTTTTTGATTGGTAGATTCAAACTTCATTTCAACTACTTCGGTTTGACTAACTAGTTGAGTATCTCTAGCTCGCATACAAGTATATGTGGATTCAGACTAAGTACAACCAATTTTCTAACTAGCTGATACAGCACAGTAAATAACACTACAAAATTCTACCGTTGGTAAATATTCATGGAATTTTCCACTAAGTCGAGGTTTTGAACTACCACTACACAAACTTAGATCTCGATAGTAGTAGTAGTAGTAGCCCCTATAGACATGCAAAATGTTTCACTTGAAACGTAATATATGAACTTGTACGTAGTTAATAAGCTACATTATGAACAAAATAGTAACCGCTTAATTATGTATAAATATAGACTGAGAAAAGCTAAATTATACCGACTATCTTGAATGACTTATTAACCAATCAGAGAATAATGTTTAATTATAAAATAATTATTATTAATAGCTACTTATATTTATGATAAACAAAAACAAACACCCTTAACTATAATGTCAATCACATCAAGTACTGTCAGACATAATCCACTTTGTTTGCATGTTTTTTTTTAATTTATACTTCAGGTTATGTACCATGTCATTTGCACTATGTAGTTGCACAAAAGATATTTTTATCAATTCTAGACATTTTGTGAACTAGATTTAGACAATATTTTATTTAATTCTTAATAATATCAGTGCTATATTTTTCTGTACTTTAAATTTCGTGGAATAATCTAATGGGTGCTGTCTTAAAGTTGATTCGTTCATCCAAAATTGTTCCTAGAGGGCGAGACTCTAATTTATGGATGAGCCAATCAGAAGCGTTTTAGAGATTTCAAGGTTACGGCTTCAACTTCAGTGCTTAATGCTAACGTGCGATGGGTTCATAAGGAATTTTGTACAAAATGTGATAATTGAGCGGCTATAACAAATAGAACGACGAGACTAATTTATGGACGGACCAATCAGTTATAAGATAACAGATCTCGGATTTTGGTGCGAAAGTCTTTCATCCATTTGGCTAAATAGATTTCTAGCATTATAGCTGATGTCAGTTCGTGATGAAAACCCTATATATAATTCCTAACTAAGGCAAATTATGACAATTATCGCGAACTGGATAATAAAAGCACCAGTAACACTGACTGCAGCCAGGTACTACAATATTTACGGATGTTTGGAGAGCGTACAGACTCCTACATAGGCTTGGTTATGTGCATCGTGTCGTTATCCACAAGTGGCATTTTGTGTACTCAACAACCGGAGTGCACATAAACAATATCTACGCTATGTTGTCGAGGCTGAAAGAGTTCTTGAGACTTTATCATGGCTCCAGAGGCCGACTATTCTGTAGCCATATGGATGATTTCCTCTACTGCATGTGTTACGAGTTTAGAACTTCTGAACCTCTTTCTAACCTTGACAAGTTTTTGAACCACGTATAAGAAGCGTATCTACTTTAATTCCATGGTTTTGTATGATATGTTTTTACTCTATACTTATTGTTTGCTGATTGGCCGATATTTCTCAAGGTCACTTCAGGTTCGTTCAAAGGTCGTCCATAAATCAGAGTCTCGCCGTTTATTTTATTTGATTACTAGTCTGAAGCTACTTTGGTTACATCTTTTCTACATGAATGATACTTATTTTTTCACTATAATTTTGTTAATCAATAGTTCGATACATTGTTAAATCCTACCATCCTCGATAGAAACGAAGATCTTATTGTCCATCCGACTTGGACCACCTATTCAAGCTATCATGTCCGTTTCTACTCACTCCTCATACTATTATCATATATACAAATTTAACTCTATCCTTTCATATTGCAAATGTCACATTTTTCACTCATTAACATACACACACATACGCATAAATACATATAAATCACTATGACCAGAATGACATGACATTGACTTGGTTAGACCTGTTTTTTTATTGATTGATTGTACTAAACATTTTTGTTTTGTTCCTATGTACTGCGTAAAGTTGGGTTTATTATCTGAAGAAGCGGCTTACATCACAGTCACAGTCAGAAAATTTAATGTCTCTACTCATTTAAGTATTACAAATAAGTTATATTCATTAGTAAATGTTATTGTTTACTAGTATCTTCCTATTGATGTTTAAAACTACAATTGATTATTCTCTTATTGACATATATGCATCTTATTCGGATTGTCTCGATATTTGCCTTAATTCACATGCATTATAAACAAAGATGGATAGTGGCTAAGAGTAGAATCCAATTTGACGCGCGTTTCGTCCTATTTGGGACTCATCAGCTAGATTGCCTAAATAAAAACAAAACGTGTGTCCTGAATTTTACTGTTAGCTACCTTCCATTTTTTTCATTATATATAATATTTAAATAATTCGAAATTAAACACCATTTTGTTTTGTTACATATTTGTTTGTTTGTTTTTATTTTTCTTAAATAAATAATGAGAATTTTAAAGTGACAATTCTATCTTTATAGTCTGAAAATGTGTTTATTCAACCGAAACAAATGGGAACAATTAAATTAATTAATAACTAAATTAAGCTGAAATGGACTTTTTTAAAATTATTTTATAACCAGAAACAATCAATAATTTCTTCTACTATATATACAAACATCTGCCCCCAAATGCCATTGCCTTCTCACAGCGGGGGTGTTGTTTACGAAATTGAGAGGATGAAAATCGAATGTCCGGTGCTTTAACTTAGTTGGTAGACCTCCGTGACCACCTAGAGGAGTTGAGAAACCCTGATTCCAAACCAACAGCGCACATAGGCTCCAGGATCCTATGGAAACAATTGGCGTATGAGCCAATTGTTGGTTACTGGCTACCGTGGGACTGAATCCTCTGACTTTGCTCCAATGCCTTATAGATTAGACCTTTAGGTTAAAGGCTCTAGTTGTGGCCCCCCTAAGAAAACCACCTGCTTCAATCTGGGCACCCGGGCAGTATCACAGCCCTCACACTAATCAAGTGACTTGTGTGGCACATATGTATTTGGTGTTCCTTTGTACTAGTATCCACTCATGATTGCATATTCATGTTGGTGATGGACTATCAACTAGATTGAGTCATATTCCCTTGGCTTCCGTTTAAAAACATTCAACCACTCAACAAACGTTTTGGTAAAGAAGGAATTTTGAATCTAAGTAACAGTTATGCAGTTTATGATCACCAAGTTGACACTAAAATGCTTGAAGAAATTACGTATAACCTTTGACCCTGAAATTCAATATTATGTTATTTTCTCCCATTCAGTTACTACTCACCTTCCTAACGTTTGACTAACCCCACTTGTACAAAGAGATGATTAACATTGTACGAGAAGCCTTATTGTTAAGACAACAAATAACAATAATGCATGCAGTTCATGGGTACATATACGTGCTTGAACTGATTAGACAGGGGCATATGGGTTATGACCTTAGTTAATAACACGACTGTGCTTGCGTTCCGCATTTACCATGAGGCCTTACAACATTTCATAGTCATCTTGGGGTTATTACAGATGTTAGTTGACAAACTTGAAGAATTGGTCATTCTGAGACTTTATTTTGCGCAATCATCCGATCCCTAATATACATAACCTACATCGTTTATAATGAAATTTACATGAGCCTATCGTACATCATAGTTTATTTTAACATTTTGGATTTTAAGTAACGAGTATTTTAATGAGGAAATCATTTAAAAGTTCAAATGTTAAATGGTTGGAAAAAGTCGACAAGAGAATCTGGACCTGCGTTTGGTCCTATTTGACACTCATCAGCAAAATGTACCTGTATTATTCAGGAACCTGATTTTCCCTATCCCATAACACTCGGCTTTAAAGTCGGAGATGTAACCATTGGATTAGCTATTCAGGCAGTAAGCTACTTCCTGTAGAACTATGATATATTTATAATTGATTAACCACTAAGTAGGGACCAATGTTATGTGTTTCAAGTCTTTGATGCCAAATAGCACGGAACCTAACTCCATGGTTTCTTTCCAACTACCTTCAACCAACTATCATTAAAATATAGTACACGCGATGTACAGTGGCCACATTTTAGCTTGATCAACGCTAAGAAAGACATGGTATCTGTCATTACTACATGACCAACCAGTCGTTAAAGTCGAAATATTTATTGCCCCTTGAATAAAACTTTTTCTAGAAGGAAACA